TACAACTTGTACATGTAGCGCAGATTTCGTGTCGGACGACAGGTGCCTCGTACTGTGCCATCTATAAACCCGACGCAGGTTTGCAGAGGGGCTCCTTTAGCATGAATTGCTTCAGCGTACGCCGAAAGTGTATCAGCATTAAGCCGGGAGCGGTCAAATTCTAAGAGATGGTTGAATTTGTCATAAATAAAGTCAAGAACAGCGCTAGAAATGGACGAAATCGCAGTTGTATCACGTCCGAAAAAGTCTTCTAAGTCGTCGAGCCGTACAGGGTAAGCCATTCGCCGTAGGAAGATACATAACCCTTCGAGCGCTGAAACATTATATCGCTGTGTAGTAGGGAATGGTTCAGGCAAACAAAAGAGCTGCACAAGCCGCAAAATCTCGCCCTTGCCAAAGCGGAACTTCTTGCGCCAGACTGAATCAGTCTGAAATCGTTCAAAATTGGACGGAGAACGCGATGGCCGATTGGATTCGCGCATGAGGAGCACAGCAACCACAACATCTTCATCTTCAGAGTTGCTGCTGCTCTAACTGTCCATCTTTCCTATTTTTTTTAAGATGACAGCAGCACAAAGTTTTTGTAACGAATAATCCCCTTCAAATCGGATAGCACCTCACTGGGCAACTTTTTGCACAACCCTTTCTAATTGCGAAAATATTATGTTCGAGGTACTTATGCAATAAGGCAGACCTGGTTTTCTGTTTCGTTGTGTTGCTGAATCAGATCCTGTCTGGGTCTGATAATAGTGAGGAGTTCTCAGACAATAAATCTGATACTTGTCAGGGATCTGATTCGGCAACCCTATATTAGAAAGATAATACAAGGACTACTACGTATTTCTAATACCAGGATAATAATACCTAGGGATTCCATTGGCTGCACCATTCATTTTGACAATTCAGGCAGCATGGTGAAGTCGTACCTGCGCTACGAGCGCGCGTGCTCCTTCGGCGTTATTGCTTCCGTAGAGGGCAACGTCATCTACGATGCCAGCGGTCGCTTTGCCATTGCACCAGCTTTGCAGGACGTGGCCGTGTGGAACGTGCGCCAGGGCAACAAGGTGCGCGACCTGCTGGCTCCAGAGAGTGGCGGTGGTCAAGTCACTGCACTGGCATTGAGCCCCGACGGCAATGATGTGGCCTGCGGCTATTCGACTGGAGCCGTGCGTATTTTCAAGCTGGCAACGGGTGCGCTGGTGGTGACGCTGGACGGTCACAAGGGCGCTGTGGAGGCTCTCGCATACCGCGCGGACGGCGCCGAGCTGGCATCGGGCTCGCGTGACACGGATGTGATCGTCTGGGACCTGGTGAGCCAGACAGGTCTCTTCCGCCTTAAGGGCCACAAGGACGCCGTCACAGCACTGGCCTTCCTGACGCCCACGACGCTGGCGTCCAGCTCCAAGGACACGCTCGTCAAGGTCTGGGATCTCGAGACGCAGCACTGTGTACAGACGTGTGTGGGTCACCGCAACGAAGTGTGGTCACTAGCTGTAAACCCTAAGGGAGACCGTCTGCTGACCGGTGCGTCCGATAACCAGCTCCGCGTGTGGAGTGTGCAGCACCAGGATGGCGAGGAAGGTGAGACAGTCAAGCTCATGGGCTCCATCTACAGACAGAGCAACGACCGTGCTGCAAGAGTGGCCTATAACCCTAAGGGAGATTTAGTCGGCCTACAGAGTGTAGGGAAGACGGTGGAGATCTACCGCGTGCGGTCGACCGACGAGATCAAGAAGAAACGCCAACGTCGTGAGAAGCGTCAGCGCGAGAAGGCCAAGAAGAAGCAGCAACAGATTGAAGAGGCAGGAAAGAACAAGAAGATCGTCATCCCGAAGGTACAGGAAGCGGATGAAGAAGACGCGGCCGACAACTCGGCTACCGACGAGCTGGAACTGCTCTGTGTGGTGCGGTCGTCGCACCGCGTGAAGTCGTTCGCCTTCTCTCCTGACGTCGCGAAGGACGGCACCACGTCACTGATGCTTGGACTACAGAATAACAGCATCGAGACGTACACGCTGTCGCCCAGTGCGGCGGCGCTTGAGGACAGATACGGCAAATCGCACGCACTTACGTTGAGTGGCCACAGATCGGATGTGCGTCAAGTTGCTATCAGCTCGGACGACCAGCTGATCCTGTCGCTGTCGGGTGCGTCCGTGAAGGTCTGGAACGCTCGCTCATTGCAGTGTATTCGCACGCTAAGCGATGGTCTGTCGCTGGCATTGTCGGCCGTGTTCGCGCCGGGTAACATGCATGTTGTGGTGGGCACAAAGCTGGGCCAACTACTGCTGTTCGACCTGAACTCGGGCGAGTGCATCTGGAAGGACGAGGAGGCGCACAACGGCAGCGCCGTATGGTCTATCGACGTGCGTCCTGATGGCCGTGGCATCGTTACTGGTGGCGCTGACCAGCACGTCAACTTCTGGGACTTCGAGATGTTCCGCCCGGACGACGCGGAGCCCAACAGCGCGCTGCGCCTCGGTCTGTCACACGCGCGTATGCTTAAGATGTCGGACGACGTGCTGTGTGTCCGCTTCAGCAACACGAAAGACGCCAAGAAACTGGTCGTGGCGGTGGCTCTGCTGGACTGCACGGTCAAGGTTTTCCACGACGACTCCCTCAAGTTCTTCGTGAGTCTGTATGGCCACAAGCTGCCCGTGATGTCGATGGACATTTCGTCGGACGACGCCATGCTGGTGACAGCATCTGCCGACAAGAACGTCAAGCTGTGGGGTCTGGACTTCGGTGACTGCCACAAGTCGATCTTCGCGCACCAGGACAGCATCATGTGCGTTCGCTTCGTACGCAAGACCCACTACTTCTTCACTGCCTCTAAGGACAAGTCGATCTGCTACTGGGACGGCGACCACTTCGAGCGTATTCTCAAAATCGACCGCCAGCATTTCGGCGAAGTGTGGGGCCTCGCAGTCAGCGGTGACGGTAGTTTTGTTGTGAGTTGCTCGCAGGATCGTTCGCTGTGCAAGTACGTTCGCACAGAGGACCAGGTGTTCATCGAGGAAGAGAAGGAGAAAGAAATGGAGCAGCTCTTCGAGGACGAACTGGTCAACAACAGCAACAAGAAGGCGCCTGCCATGGGCAAGGAGAAGGGGGAAGAAGACGACGGTGATAACGACAACTCGGCGTCGGCTGCTAAGCGTACTATCGAGTCCGTTCGTGCCGGTGAGAGTTTGATGGAGGCTATCGACCTTGCCGAGACCGAACTACAGGCCATTGCAGACTTCGAACGTGTGCAGAAGAAGAAAGCGAAGGAGGCTGCAGCGGCCACGAAGAAACGTAAGCAGGAGAAGAAGAAAGCTACCGAGGAGGCGAGAGCGAACGCCTTGCCTGGTACTGAGCAGGAGGAGACTGACGAGCCTTCCAGCAAGCCGGAGAAGGCGACGCGCCCACCGAACATGTTGCTGCTGGGCTACTCGCCGCTTAAGTACGTGCTCCACACGCTGCGACGCATTCGGCCGCACGACATGGAGGAGGCGCTGATCGTGCTGCCGTTCGACTACGTGGAGCGGCTGATCCGACTGCTGCTGCAGTTGATCTCGAGCCACTTGGAGGTGGAGTTCTGTTGTCGCGTGCTGCTCTTCTTGCTCAAGCTGCACAACTCGGCCATCTGCGCGCGCGTGGGTCTGTTTAACGAGCTTGAGCTGCTGTGGCAGCGACTGCGCTCGCAGCTCGTGGAGAGCAAGAGCCGCATCGGCTTCAACTTGGCCGGCCTCAAGTATTTAAAACGGACGATCGACGAGGAGCGGACCGGATTCGTGCAGGAGATCGCAGCCGCGCCGGCGAACGGTGCCGGCCGCAACAAGAAGAAGCGCAAGGTCGAAGCGTAACGTTGACAGATCGTAGGAAAGTTAAAACACGATTCAACTCGAATTGTAGCGAGTGAGTCGAGCAATAGACGAATGCACGTGTATATCATACGCAATTCTGAGCGACTTTCGTTCTACTCGTACTAGCATGTAAAGTATCTTGAGGAGGACGTTAACTTAAGTTTTGTATGCTCCAAGTTGAAGTTACTACCTGTAGTAGTATCCAGGAATTGTGTCGCTTCAGTGTAATACTTTGAGGCAGCGAGGACGTGGCAGTTGAGTATGAGAACTACCTGCAGGACTATGGCTAGTCCTCTATTACCGGCGGAGCGAGCGCCTCGATAGCCGCGAAACAAGTCGCATCGGATTGCAACTTTGATGCCGTCTACATGAAGAACGCGTGGAAGTGTTGCCACAACGAGGCCGACATGAAGAACGCGTGGAAGTGTTCCCACAACGAGGCCGACATGAAGACGCTAAATGAGACGTTCAGGTTAAGACTGTAGAGGAGTCTGCGTCGCGGTATATGCGTGCTGGAGCGTGAAGATACACGCAGCCCGATCCATCCCCGCTATCCTGTGGCCAACCGACTTCCAATTGTTTCTCCCAGTTAAATTTCTCTCTCGGAGGAACTGCTGACGGATGTCCGGGACTCTATTATTTCGAAATCGTTGCCGTAAGCTTATTAACATACAGATCCTGAAACTAAACAGGAGACAGACATTGCCTGACTAACATGAAGGATAACGTAAGCAATGGTATGTCATAATATTCTCCATTCTCGACTAAGTACGATTCAGTTCCAGTCCGGTGACAATAGAAAGTACGACACACAATGGACTATTTATCATAATAAGTGCAGGATTCACTAGGATTCACTAGTACCCACGAAAATTTGGGAGGACTATTCTTTCGCACGGTACCAAAAATTGCAAACGCTTCGTGCCACCGAATGCACTAATCGCGCCACATCTGAATTCCCATTGGCCCAAATACAGGGAGTGCGTTACTCACTCTTGGAGCCATCTTCGCGAATCGTGAATCGCCATGGTGTGGGAGGGCACGTCGCCACTGCTGCCGACGGCGCACCGCCGTACGCGGAACGCCAGCACCGGTAGCTTCCCGGAGACACACGCAGAGGCCCCAGACTCGCCGCGCACGCGTTTCAAGGAGCGGGAGAAGGCGGCGGCCGCTCGCGCACTGCGACCACGTCAACGGGCACTGCGCCGCGTCCCGGCGCTGCTGGGATTGCTGGCTGCAGGCTTCGTGTTGGGCTACTACGCGCAGCTTCTGCTGTTCTTCTGCCACGTGCGACTGGGCTATACTGCCGAAGTACTGCCCACAATGGAGGTGACGCTCGTAGAAAAGCTCACGGCCTCCCTCATCGAGCACACACAACGCGTCGTGTTCGTATGTAAGAAGACCAACTGGGACTTCATAGGCTTCATCGCTAGCCCACACACGATCCTGTTCGCACACGACGACGTAGTTGTGCCCTCCGCACTCGAGGAGAGTCTGCGCGTGGTGCGTCACGCGGGCGTGGACAGCTACATGAACCTACACAACAAGACAGTGACCATCATGAGCCACGTACACGCCGCGGACCCGCGCAATCATCTACTTAAACAGGACGACGAAGCAGTCATCTACTGGCCACACTACTACCAGTGTCTCAAGAAATGTACAGACCTGGACTCGTGTTACGCCGGCGACATGCACGTGAATCTCGGCGACGTGTCCAACACCAACTCGTACGTGTTCGCCACGGGCGGCTCGTACTTTGTAGGTAGCGCTCTATTGAAGTGTATGCTAGAAAAGCCCATTTTCGTCGAGTTAGACGGACTCGACTACGGCGAGGACAAGACAGTGGGCAAGATGATCCACTACAACCGCTGCAAGGTGCAGTACGTGAGCTGCAAGTGGTTCAACAACGAGGAAGTTTACTCGCCCAACGCACATATCAAGATGAGGAAAGGAGCGTCGGCCGAGATACGAGAAGGCACCGTCTTATTAGGCAGGGACGAACAACCTCCGCACAGGGAACGCGCCGACATGGTGCGTCGTCTCCAGTCGGACCAAGAACGGGCAAAACAGGACGGTGTATGATGACAGATACAATCGAGTTAGATGACTTCACAGGCTGGAAATATAGCATTTTAGACGCACATCTCGCAGTGAGGAGGCTTTCAAGATCCATCGCAGTGTCATGAATCTAGCACGGCAGTGAGTATAGTTCATCATGAGCATGGGATGTACACGGTTAGAGCGGCTAAAATTGGGGTGGCACCTTGCAGTCGCTAATGTGCTGTGGAGCTATTTTGATAGGGAACAGCTTCTTTGGGAACCTGCATAACGGGGCAGTTTGTCTCTCTTGGTGTGAATTTATAAGCTGGGCGATCATGGGCTGCGGCGCCTCTATCATGCAGCGACCCGATGGGGAATCCAAGATCCTGGCTCAACTAGGCAACAGCAATGGAGCTGGTCCCAACAAGCCTGTGCGCTCGCCACTTACGAAGGAGCAGATCAACTCCCGTATCGTTTGCTCGCCGAAAACAATGAAGTCCAAGGTGACGGCCAAACTGAGTGCGCAGTACGCCTTCGTCTCGCAACGCGGGTACTATCCTGATGGTAAGATCAATTGTTAACCTATGTTCTCGTATGTGCTCTTACTGACAGTGTGAACTGCAGCTCTCGATAAGCCCAACCAAGACAGCTGCACAATCCTCCCAGCCTTCATGGGAGACGCTGCGAAAATGTACTTTGGCGTGTTCGATGGCCACGGCACGACTGGAGACTTGTGTGCCTCGTTCGTTCGCAAGGAGTGTCCCGAACGTCTTGTTCGCATTCTGGATCGTAAGAACTGTTCCTTCTTGGAGGCCTATTCCAAGTCTTTCGAGGAGACGAACGCGCGACTGCATGCGTCACGTATCGACGACAGTTTGAGCGGAACTACAGCGATCTGCATGTTTCTAGACGGTGAAATGATCCACGTTGCCAATGTCGGCGACTCGCGAGCTGTTATTGCCACTATGAGCGAAGGAAAACTAGTCGCGCAGCCACTTTCCGTCGACCAAACACCCTACCGATCGGTACGAACGTTTAGACCTATTGGTGACGGAATATTTGTTAAATTTTTTTTATGATATTCTACACAGGACGAACGAGAACGCGTAAAGAGATCTGGAGCACGCGTCCTCACTATGGATCAGTTGGAGGGGATCGCTCCTGTGCATGATGTACGTCGTAGTACTCGTGTTAGAGTCAAAATGATACTCATATCCTTTTTGACTTGCAGAACTGGGCAGCGAACTTGAACGACCAAGTGGATGAGGATGGCGACCCGCCGCGTATCTGGTCGCCGTATGGTGCTTTCCCCGGCACAGCGTTCACCCGAAGTCTTGGTGATGAAATCGCAGAAACACTGGGCGTTATCGGAGTCCCGGAGATTACGTCGCTGCAGCTGACGGAAGACGACCGCTTCGTTGTCATTGCCAGTGATGGCGTGTTCGAATTCCTCACGAGTCAAGCTGTTGTGGATATGGTAGCGCAGTATGAAGACCCATTGGAGGCCTGCCACAAGGTGGTCGCAGAGTCTTATCGTCTCTGGCTAACGTACGAGTTGCGCACGGATGACATTACAATCATTTGCGTGTACTTCCACTTCAGCGAGGGTGTTGCTACGGCCAGTGGAGCTTCACTTGGAACAACACCGAGAACCAACTCGGTGGCCAGGAGGTTGGGGCGACAGACAAGCGAGAAGGTTGTCTCGCAGCAGCTTCGTCCTGTTCGTCGTGGTATGTCCAAGGAGAAGCGTCGGGCGCAGATGCGCAAGGATATGGCACAGCTCGTCAAGGAAGAAGATCTGGCGTACCGAGTGAGCGACCACGCTATCCCGAAGTCGTCCACGGAGCTGCGTTTGCTTGAGGAGTTGACGAAAAACAACTGGCTGTTCCGACAGCTTACACAGGCTCAGAAGGACGACATCTTCGCTGTCATGGAGCGCATCAGCGTCCGTGAAGGGGACATGGTGATTCGCCAGGGTGATCCAGGCGACAAGTTCTACATCGTAGAGTGTGGAGACTACCAGGTTAGTGTGCGTGGCGATGACGGAGGACCAGAGAGTATTGTGCACACGTACACTCAGCCGCCCGTGAACCCGGATCACTGTGGAGACCTGCAACCGGCGTCGTTCGGTGAGCTTGCATTGATGCACAATAGTCCACGGTCGTCCTCGGTCAAGGCGTTGTCGGCCGGCGTGCTCTGGGCAATCGATTGTCGTGCATTCCGACGAGTATTTATTAAGGCACCGACGTCGGTGCTAGTTCAAACACTGAAGAAGGTGGACGTGCTTAAAACACTGACCAAAGCTCAGCTAGAACGCTTGGCCAACAACCTGACTGAAGTCGTGTACCACGACGGCGACTATATCATCAACCAGGGAGACGGTGGTGATACATTCTACGTGATCCAGGAGGGAGCTGTGATCTGTACGATCTGGGAGGATGATCCGTCAGCGGGTCCTGGTAAGAAGAGGACCTCACGAGAAGTGTTGAGGCTCAAAAAGAATCAATACTTTGGCGAACGTGCGTTGCTGAATGATGCACCGCGAGCTGCGAACGTTATCTCCGTGGGGCGTACCAAGCTGTTGCAAGTCGGCAGACGCGAGTTTGAAGAAGTCTTAGGCTCGTTGCAAGACATGATTGAAGCTGATCGTCTACAACGTGAGGCACGGCACAACTTTGAGACGGCGGTGAAGAATTTAATCTACAGCCCGGCCGCGCATGGAGCACGACGCAATTCGATGGTCATGGGGCCGTTGCGACCGCAAGACATGCGCTTCCGCTACGTGGTGCAGCAGACGGACTTTGGGTTCTTAGCTGTGTACCAAGGAGTGAGTGACACGAAGCGGTTCTTCACTGTCAACGTCTTCTCCTTTCAACAGGTAGCAGCCGACCGCCGTGGCGATGAAGCTGCGCGCTACGTGACTACGCACAAGACCATCCGTCTGGACACTCCTATGCTACCGGAGATGGTGGCGTTCTGGCGAGATGACCGTGCGTTGTATCTGTCGTTCGACACCGCTATGGTCACGGACTTGGCGGCGATGCTGGCGGACGAACCCAGCGGCCGGTTCGAGAAGGAATCGACAGTACGCGGCTTCGCAGCACAGGCTCTACTGATGCTTGAATACATCCACCAAGCTGGCTACGCGTACCGGAACCTCAGCAGTGAAAACGTCATGGTGGACACGCACGGATACCTGCAACTGCACGACTTCCGACACATGAAGCGCTTACCCGATGAGACCCGAACGTACACGATCTGTGGCACTCCTGAGTACATGGCACCGGAGATGGTCTCAGCGCGTGGTCACACGGCCAGTGCGGACATTTGGTCGCTAGGAATCCTCATCTACGAGATGCTGTGCGGTCGTACGCCGTTTTCCATCCGTACGAACGAAGAGGACCCTAATACAGCAGATAAAAGCTTCGGATCCGAAGCCAATCCGACTTCACGTCTTACCAACGAGAAGGACGTGACGATGGCTGTGTACTCGAAGATCTCGCGCCACAACAAGGGAGCGCTCAAGTTCACACGTGACGACTTGTCAGCAGAAGCCTGTGATCTTGTACAGCAGCTTCTCGACCCGTTTCCGGATGACCGTCTAGGCGGTCAAGGGCTGGTCGATATTGTCAAAGGAGGCTCCGTTATCCGTGCACATCCGTGGTTCCAAGAGATCGACTGGGTCGTGTTGGCGTCCAAGACTGCGGATCGAGAGCATGCCGAGGCCTTGACGAAGCTCATGGACGAACAGCTCTCATCCGCCACGAGTCCCGAGATGCCCATGCTAGAACCCGTGTCACCACACAGCGGAGACCTCGACTGGCTCGAGAACTTCTAACAGATAGATGAAGGGTCGGTAACGTATCCAAAATGCACTAAGTCTCTTGGCACTTTCCATTTATTGTAAGCGAAGTTAGATAGATGGGGGCGAAGGAAGCAGAGCCGGCGCCGGAGGGCACACGCCCCATGATGATTTCGATGCGAGAAATGGAGACGTTAGGCCTCAAAACCGGCAGCGGGTTACGCGAGACCGTCGAGTTTAAGGTGTTCACGCGACAAGAAGTGCTCGACCAGATCGCCCAGGTGGGCTTCATGTGTCCGTTCCACGAATTCCGAGCCGAGATCGCCAAGATGCCGGCGGGGGACGACATTCTCATTGTGGCCGACCCGAACGAGACGTACGGCGAGAACTGGCTGCTTTGTCTTACCCGTCGCGCGTTCGACTCGCAGATGGAGCTGATCAAGCGTCGAGAACAGGATCGACTCGATGCTCTTGCAGCTCAGGAGAAAGAGAATACTGCAGATGCGAACGATGTATCCAAGATCGTGTATGAGGACAAGCCAATGCTCTCACGTCCGTGGACGTCGGTCACGGCACGTGAGAGCCATGAAGACGTTGAAGCTCTTAGTGTTGTGCCCTCTCGTCCTTTGGTATGATATACTGCATTTCATTTTTTTTTCTCGGTTGTTAACCTGTGTAATTCCAGATAACGATGTCAGTCACGAAAATGTCCGACGAACTCAATGCAGACTACAAGTTTAGCGATCGAGACGCGGATCAATGTACGATTTACTCAGGTTAAGCGTGTTCACTTGATCACCGTTTAATGTTTATGCTGTATCTGTTGCAGGTTTTGTGGAGTGGAGACAGCATAAGGATCCTAACTACGAACTCACACGTTTAGAGCAAGATGTAGGTCTTCAAGGAACACCTCCATTAGTGGACAGCACGACGCAGACGAGTTGGTTCCGCTCCGTCAACAGCGCGCTTCAATACGAGCCGATTGTCATGGAACCAACGCGACGTCGAGCCGAGATGGACAGCGACAAGATCCAAGCCTTCTTAGCGCGTATACTGCCTCGAGTAGAGCGGGCTTTACAGCAAAACGAGACGCTGGATGTGTTTCTAGACCCGTTTGCCCACTTGTTAGAGGAAGAGGACGCTTCACTGGGCAACAAGAACAACGAGAACGCCATGCGGGAACTCAAAAGCTTCACGGATCTCGTGTACAGTAAGAACAAGACTCTACCAGCGATTGACTGGCACCCGAGACGACACGGCGTCATTGCAGTGGCAGCGGTGGCTAACGCTTCGTTTGCACGGCGTCTCGACCTACTGGACACCGTCGACAGCTCGTTTATCCTCATCTGGAACTTCGTGGACCTCATCCATCCTCAGATCATGCTGGAATCACCTCAAGACGTTCTGACCATGCGTTTCAACCCTGCAGCTCCACATCTCGTAGCTGCAGGTCTTTACAACGGCCAAGTGCTCGTGTGGGACTTCTCCAAGGCGGAACATTTGCTCTCCAAGATGAAAACGACCAAAAACGCTTCTGGTCCCGCTGGACCAAATGCTTCAAAAGGTGACGACACGCACAAACAAGTACCTCCTGTGAAGCCTTTGTACGTGTCGTACATTGATGTGAGTCACCGCAGACCCGTAGCAGATCTGCAGTGGCTGCCTGCAGGCGTTGAAGTCAATAGTCGAGGTCACGTTGTGGCATCTACTGGAGCTGACGCAGGCGCTGTCAACCAGTTCGTGACGATAGCAGCGGATGGTCAAGTTTCCTTCTGGGATCTACGATTTAAAGACCCCAAATACCGCGGAATGACCCGCGCTAAAGTCGATAAAGCTGGCACCGCTGGCGCTAAGGACGGCACAACGCCGGATGTGCATTTTGTGCCGATTTACTCCATTTCGTTGGCCAAACTCGACAGTCCGGGAGAGTTAACATTGCAGACGCTTTGGCTAGAGAAGACACGCGAGGAAACCGGTGTTGGAAGTGGCGAGGGAGGCGTGTTGCCACTCACTAGTAAATTCTACTGTGGCACAGAGGAAGGAGAGTTCGTCTATGCGGATTGGCGTCCTCACGCACCAGTGAAAGGCGGTAACAAGGCGGACGATGGAGGCAGAGGAGATGAAGGTGTCGAGTACGTGCAGTGGTTGTGTCGAGACCATTCTCGACCAATTTTGGGTCTTTGTGCGTCTCCATTCTTCCCCAATATCTTTTTGACGGCAAGCGAGTCACATTTCCACCTCTGGAATGTTTCACAGCAGCATGAAGGTGCTGGAGATAACACGTCCAATGGGCCTATCTTTGTGTCGCCACTCACACCATCGGTTATTACGTGCGTAGCGTTCTCTCCGTCACGACCAGGAGTCATTTTCTTAGGGAAAGCCGATGGAATGCTGGAAGTTTGGGACTTCTTGGATCAATCGCACCGATCCAGTTTGTCTATCGGCGTCACGGCGTGTGCACTGACGTCGATTGAGTTCCGACCGCAACTTGTGACCAATCCAAGTGGAACTTCAGCAAATGCCACCAATTCTAGCGGTGCAGGAGCTGGAGCTGGTCGAGTCAAGCCAACGGACGGTACTGGAGCACGAGGGCGTAATAATCCAGGTCAAAACGCACCAAACAATACCTCAACGAACATTAAGCAACAACTTGTTGCAGTCGGGGATCAGATCGGTAATTTGCACATTTTAGAGGTGCCTCGAACGCTGTCACGACCGACTAGTGGCGAACGAGCAGCTATGGAGGCCTACTTTAAACGTGAGAGCGAACGGATGAAAGCTGCTCGCGCCTCGAAAACGGGACTCTCGGAGGGTGGCGCTCCAAGCTTACGGCAGAATCGTGGAGAAGACGGAGTTCCACCCGGAATAGCAGCTGCGAACAATATGTCCTCGATGCCAGGCAAAGAGGCTGATTCGACGCGTCCTGCACACACTGGAGCAGATGACGACATTTTCAAGCAAATGGAGAGCGAATTCTGCCGTGACATGGGACTCGAGACAGCACGCAGCGCTTAAAACAATTGCCGCTACGACGACCACTTTTATCCTAACTTGGATACTTTTGCTATATCACGACAAAAAAAGGCGCCTCTTTTTGCTTTACGACACAAAATTAAGCCCCTACTACCGTCTCATCCAATCACAAGTGTCCGTCAAGTGGGTACACTTTTTGGTAACTGCCCGACTCAAAAGGCACTTCCAACCAACTTTGACATTTTTAACCCATTGCTGTCTTCACCACAGCAGTAAAGCGACTGTCATGTCGGCAGCGGGCAAGCTGCAGGTGCTCAAGATGGGCGTCTCGCGTCGTGGGTCTTCACTCAACGCCACACTCAAAGCCAAGGACGTTCGCATCCAATTGGACGAGGAGTTCGAAAAGGAGAACGGATACTCGTTCGACTATGTGCTGGTCTTCCAGGTGCACGACGAGGCTGCCGAGCTCTCGGAGCAGCAAAAGAAATTCAGTATGCGCACCATCCTACAGCACATAGCTCGTGGTGGCATCGAGACCAAAATGTTCTACTCGACCGACCGAGGTCATGTATTCTGTAAATTACGCGCAACACTGGAGAGACTGGCCAAGGAGGCCGATCGTATCGACTACAAAGTCGAATTCGACCCCTCAGAGCTGCGTAGGATCGCTGAGACGGGCTATGAAGAGCAGAACATCAAAAAGATTATCATCAAGGACGAGCACAAGATCTCCCATCGAGACCCGTTCGTGAACATCTTTGCCAAGTTCGACGTCGAGCCGCGGCTGTATCCAGCATACCGTAAATACGGACACAAGCAGATTCCATTCCGTGGTGTCGATCGGTACGGTTACTGCTGTAATAAGTAAAGATCTGGGCTAATCTATTGCTTTTTTTTAGTATTAAACTACTGCTCAACATCATCAAAACTCGAGGAGAAGGAGGCTGCGGCTTGAATTTGAGTGAACTACTGCGCGACAAGTGCCTTGTTGCAGCCTTCCCACTACACGAACCGGAGGAGCTCAACAAGCTTCGAGACAAGTGGTTCAGCTGGAAGTTCGCACCGTGGCAACAGCCATTGTGGGAGATTAAAGACTACTTCGGAGAGAAAGTGGGTCTCTACTTTGCGTGGCTTGGTGGGTAGTTTGCTCTACTTTTCTGGTATTTATGCAAATCCTTACCATTTTGTTTTGTAGGTCACTACACGACGTGGTTGATCGCACCAGCGATCGTCGGGTGCCTCTTGTTTGCCGGTGTTTTGGTCGAAGATACCGCCGACTCCGTGCTGGTGCCATACTTTGGTCTCTTCATGGCTCTCTGGTCAATGTAAGTTGGGTTTGCGATTGGATACTTACGTTGAAGGCTCTTACCTGTGTGTGACACTACAGCTTCTACTACGAGTACTGGAAGCGCAACAACTCTACTTTAGCACTTGAGTGGGGTATGTCCACCTTTGAAGAAGAAGAAGTGGAGCGCCCAGAGTTCGATGGCCAACCTACAGTTTCTCCAATCGACGGGTCTGAGATCCGCTACTTCAGTCCACAGACGCGATTCCGTCGCGTTATGGGTTCACTGGTACGTCCTAATGGAGTGATAATTGTCCGAATCATTGCACTAATTCTTCTCTTCTTGAGCTCGAATAGTTCTTCATCAGTATGCTTATCCTGCTCGTTGTCGGCGTCGTGGCTGGCATCTTCGTGTTCCGGTACGCTGCTACATCGGGCAAGTGGAAAGACATGTTCACAGTGAACGGCACTCAACTGGGCGGCGCAGCGGCGTCCACCGTGAACGCCATTCAGATCATGATAATGAACAACGTATACAGTACCGTGGCCGCGAAGCTCAACGAGTTCGAGAACCACCGCACCGACACTGAGTACGAAGACCACTTGATCGGCAAGACGTTCCTCTTCCAGTTCGTCAACTCGTACGCGAGTCTATTCTACGTGGCGTTCATCAAAACTTCAGTGGAAGGCCACGAATCCTGCAAACCAGAGGGTCACGGCTGCATGGACGAACTGATGATGAGTCTGGGCATCATCTTCATCTTGCGACTCACATCCGGTAATTTCTTCGAAGCCGGTCTGCCTTGGATCATGAAGAAGCTCAAGAGGAACAAGAAGGAGAGCACTTTGTACCGTGAACCTTCAGCCATCGAGAAGCAATTGGAGCTGGACGTGTACGACCAGAAAGGAACGTTCGATGACTACAACGAGATGATCATCCAGTTCGGCTACGTGACGCTGTTCGTCGTGTCCTTCCCGCTGGCTCCAGCGTTCGCTCTGTTCAACAATTTCATCGAGATCCGCATTGACGCCCACAAGCTGGTGAACGCTACTCGACGTCCAGATCCTCGCGGCGCGCAGGATATCGGGACGTGGGGGACTATCATCGATCTCATGGGCTCGATCGCCATGGTGACCAATGTGGCTCTTGTATGCTTTACTTCTCGACGTACGACTGTAAACCTGACGGACCACGAGCGACTGTGGCTGTTTGTGTGCGTTGAGCACGGCCTCATCTTGCTGAAATACGTCCTGATGCTCGTAGTGGACGACGAACCACACGACGTAACTCTGCAGAAACAGCGCTCCAGCTTCATCGTCAACAAGATCGTCAACCTCATCGCAGACGATGATGACGAAGAGATGGCCAAGGGCAACCAAGTGCGCGTGGATCTCACCGTGTTCGACGAAGACATCTAGTCCTGAGTATATACATATTTGCATTTTACTTTCTAACGCACCGATCTGGATCAGTAGAGCCACGGTGACAGCGACCCAATAAGTACAGCACCACTATCGCTTTGGACATTGTTGAGACTTGCATGTCTGTGCAGTTGAGTGGCATCCTCTCGAGCCACAAGAACAACAGGGATCGTCACGTATTGCCCGAGGCCACGTGCGTCGTCGGCCAGTGAGTATTTGCGGTTGGGATATCTGCTGGAAGATGCCTTTGAGTTGATAACCACGATACCCACTGCACCAGCGCTTTGCAGTCTCAACGCCTTCTCTGCAAACGTACATTTACCGCGGGCTACCATCACGATCTTGCCATGCACACGATCGGAGTCTATAGACCCACAAGCCTCGCCAATATCCGGAGTAAAGAGCAGCAACGGAGCTTCTACTGCTGATGGAGTGGTGACCTGTAACCCAAACTTGGCAGGAGAAGCCACAAGTGTCGTCACGTGAACGCCACCGATGCGTACAGCCACTCCGACAGGGATAACAGGAGGCGTTAGTTGACCTCGTCTTGCCACTTCTAACTCCACGTTACGTCTGTGGACTTGCAGCTTCCCATTTTCGCACTTTGGAGACGCAGACGACGCCTTCTGCTTCGTTGTGTGTCGGAACAGATGCGAGTCAAGCATTAAAATGTGGCCTTCAGTGCTGAAGACAACGTCCGATGCCTTTAGAGGCTTCCTGTTCCTTCTAACGTAGGAAGAGTGCTCCAAAGTAGAGTTTCCATTGATGGTCCGATTGTTGCAAGATAGTGATGATCCAAGCGTAATTTTGTCGTCTGATACCGTTGCCGAGCAGGTACGATTCGTTGCTGTAGCGTTGCGCTGTCGTATTGGGGCTGGGACGATCACATTGTCATCACTGAAGAGTAAGAACAAGTACTTGGCAGTCTCTGACAGGAAGTAACTGTCCATGCGGTCTTCAACGTCTAGTGTATGGATATCCCCCACTGCAGCGTAACCACAGGGTACTTCTGACACGCGACGAATATCCTGCAGCATTTGTCGCCCCATCTTGAGATACTTATGGTCTTTTGTGGCCTGGTACAAATGGTAAGTGCTCTCAATCAACTCAGGACGAAGCGGAGACGTACGCGCCCAGCTAATCACAGTGCCACGGTTCCCAGGCTTCGATTTGCCATGCGGAGCCAAGTCTAGCAACTCCGGCATGGCACCGTATTCGTCCCAGAGTGGAAACATGTGCTCATGTGTACGAATAGCGCCCGATACATCGCCTGCAAGTACCTGAAGTCCCGGCCAAAAAGCTTGCAGTGCTGAGACGCGACGAGCGCGTACTTGGTTCCTGCCTCCGTTCATATCAACTTCAATGTACACGTCGTTATGGTTCACGTGGGTCTCCACCGCGTGGTAGCTGGCGTTAAACATCTCCAGCCACCCGGAATCTCCACTGATAAGATGATATTTCAACAAATATTCAAAAAACGAGTCCAGGCCAGCTCCGATACCTCCGTGTGAGTAGATCCACTGACCCGACCCGACATCTATAGAGCTCCCCAGTAGATCCAGATCTGATCGTCGATCCCAGATTGCCACAACCGCTTGCTTCGCTCTCTCCTCAAAGCTCTCGTCCCCTGTTAACCTCGATAAATAGGCCATCTCCACCAGCAACGACCCAGCAGCAGCTGGACACGTCAAGTTGGCTGCTCGGTCTTTCGGTAGTACCCCACGTTGTAGATTTATTCTATGTACAGGAATCCCCGTGGGGGTCTCAAAAGCTGGTAGTATTCTCCGTCCTAGATCCTCTGCGAGCTCCAGTAGTTCTCCATTGTACTCGTGCTCGTCCATTAATCCGAAATATTCTGGAGAAGCCAACATGTGCGCTGACACTAGTCCACCGATAACTCGAATAGTAGACTCGAATACTGACACTGTCACGTCTCGATCGAATGATACACTACTGGATATGAGCTTAACAGCACGTGCAAACTCGTCGCAGTCCCCTAATACGGCTAACATATCCAGTGAGTCAACAAGTGTCAATGAGAAGCCTCCCAGTACGTCGTCCAGGTCACCACGTTCACGACGATCCCAGCGGCGTCCAGAGCAGCTTAGGGGCTTAAGTTCATCCCATGGGTACGCGTGCTTCATATAATTGCGGTAGCCGTGATAGAACATGTCACGCGCTTGCTGCTGGAGATGGCGTCGCTCCGACACGTGCATATGAGCTGAACAGAGCGTCCCAACGAGTGCAACCGACACAAGCAAAAAAGCAAGACGCAGACACATCGGGTACACTTGGCGGGGAGTCATGATCACCTCTGTGGACGGAGAAAGCGATCAGAGAATGCACGCGTCGGAGGAGGATGCAGCTCTCCCGCTTCGTCAAAGCGGCCAGATGACTGAATAACGTATAATCGGAATTAAAGAAGACCATACAATGAGAAGGTATAGCAGAGAAGTGCTGGCTCTTTACTGAAGGTATCATTATGCCTATTGCCTATTCGAAGCGAGATGTAATCCTACAGAAGACTGGAAGACGGCGACGACGGTGAGTTGGGGCGGCAATTGCTTCTTGTGAAGACACGAAGGCTGGGGTGAGGAGCTTTGGTGTCTGGCAATCTGTGGAAGATGAGGTGACGATGTTTGAAGGAGTTGAGATGGTGCACTCATGCGGGCTGGCAACGCTGGGATCAGTAGCAGTTTAGCTCTTCGCGACCGGCATCTCGTGGTTGGAGAGGTTGAGTTTGAGCGAACGGGGGTAGTGACAGTCGGAGAATTGTATCCAGGTGTTGATTCAGTAGCGGAAGACAGGGTCAACAGCGTCGGCGACGAAGGAGCTGCGCTGGAGCTTGACGTTGTTGTCTCTGTAAAGTTATCCAACTCATTCTCTACGGCCGGTTTCGTTGCAGTCACAGAAGAATAGAATATCGGAGTGACCAGTATCTTGGACATTGGCTCGCTGGTAATCGTGGATGAAGCGTGAGGACGCGACAAGACATTCCAGTCGTGTGGTCGGTTTACTGCTTCCGTTGATGTTCTCGCCACAGGAGACCAGAAAGACGGGGTGAGCAGCGACTTGGTCATCGTCAATGGCTAGCAAAATTGTGACGCGCAATGCAGTCGTAGCGTGCAATCGGCGATCGGCTTGGGCCTTTCCGTGGGGCTTAATTAGAACGCCTTGCAAGCTCAGCTATGCGAGACGTTTGTAGTTCTCGTCGAGTTGATAAATGAGAGGCTTGGGTTTCCTGGTGGCTCGACCTTTCCGCTCGTTTTGAGTTTTCAAACAAAAGCCCATTGCTATTATTCCATTGCTTCACTTCGACTTAGTTGACCTTTTCTGGGGGCGCTAGAATTGGCACAGCACAAATATCAGCATGGCCGCTATGGGCAGAAGCATTTCCTTTGAATTTGCTGAATATTTTGTCCAAAACTCAGGACACGTTCAACACCATTTTAGACCTAGAACATTTTCTTCTGGACAATAACAGTAGCGCGCCCCCAGCTCATGTGGAATTTCTCTTCATGCATCGCTTGCCACCGCGTCGACGGCAAGGGCTTGGTCACGGTCACGAAATAGCTGCCCACAGCTAATTGATCTGCGCCAAGGGAAGTAACAAATACGGTTAGCAGACACTCTCAATCACAATGTATATCCACCTCTTACCTGCTTCCGTTGAGATTGCTTGAATGAGCTGCAACACACCACACAGATCAACGCAAACAATGAGCAATCCACCACGAAACGCAAATCAACTGACCGAACTGAACGTACGCTGTCGCTGAAGCATGTCGAGTTACAAAACACCAGAGTGGCATCTCGCCAGATATCGGGCCGCTTGACAGCGTCGCCCTTGACAAAGCCCACATCTACGTCAGCCTTGGTCGCTGGTAGGGAGTCCAGAATCTCAAACCGCCACCGATCCAAAACCTTCAGCGCCACTGCGTGCAGTCCATCCAGCACCTGCAATTCCCACACTCAGCCACACGTCACCAGTCAAGCACCTTACTCCGCGTTTCTCACCTCAATGCCGCAGCACTTGGAAAAGTCGTGCAGCAACGCCGCTGCCATCACCTGCTCATCATTATTCCATTAGCAAAGGATCCATATCTCGTCACCAATAAATCCACACCACGCACCACTTTACCACAGCCCGAGCCGATGTCGTAGAAGTTTCCTCCTTTATCCAGCAGCACGCCGAACTGCATCCTCATCTACCAGTAGCATTTATACCCAGTCAGTCAGCCATTGTCCCTCTAAATTCCTGTCTTCTGCGTCTCTTTACCAGTTGAAAAATGGCGTCCACCGTCTCGAACGGGATCTCCCCGTAGACCAGCGAGCGGTTGGCCAGTTCCTTCTTCTCGCGCTCCTGACTTGACACTTTCTTGACCTCGAACTCTGGGAACTCGGCGAATAGCTCCGCATGGCGCTTGGCTGCGTCTTCCACTGCGTAGAAAATGATAATGAGTGAGTGAAGAGAAGGTGAGGGATATTACTAGTCGATAGAGCACTTAGTTACCGACGGTGATGCCCTTGGAGGCCACGGCCGCCTCTGCCTCGCTGGTGCTCATTGGTACTGACGGAGTGACGACCCAATAGGTCTGTGGTGGAGGTTGTACAGATGGTGGTGTACTAACGGCACTAGCTGTTTTAAGCAACTTAGCCTATTGGTGCAACGCAACTTCTTCAACTTCACAATCGGTGCAACGTAAACTTCCATTTGCAACTTAACAACTTCAAGTTGCCTTTATCCCTACACATGTCTAGCGTTCTGCCTACTTCAATCACTGCGAAAAATTTAATACTGCTGTGTAGAATGTTTAAGCTGAAAAAAATCAAAGAAAGAGAAGATTATGTTTCCGGTCTAGCTCGAGGAAATGGTTGTAATGCAGCCATGCCTTCGCTACAGCCATTCCTAATTTTCAATACTTTCGGCACCTCACCCCTTCCGGATGCAAATTATGTGGATCTTAGCTGCTGTCATAGTGCTGCAAGCAGCTAAAGCCCGTGGAGAGCGGTTCCGTGCAGTTCGAACGGCAGATCGCAGTGAAAGTGGCGGAGTTACTTTGAAACAGCTCGCTATTCCTTCGCTACGATTCCTTGGAGGCGGCGACGACGACAACGACAACGACGACGACGATGATGATGATGATGATGATGATGACTGCTAACGTGAGATCAATGTCCAACAGGACGAAAATGCATGAGCATGTCTGTCATTAATAACAAAACACCTGTTTTACAGAAATCTCAATCTAAGTTGAGGTCACTATGCTGCTCTTGACCTACGTATTTGTCAATAGCCCACGATGCCACATTGCTCATCGTTATTTCGGATGATGGTAGATTCCATACATCGATCGCAATAATTTGCTTCTTACCCATCGATGTCTCTCGATCGACAATCTCAAAGGTTCTATTCACCGATACCCAAAGTACCTCGATCTTCGATTCCCCGCGGGGTTTCGGTGAAATATCGGCCACAATTAGCGGACCAAGAGCGCTATCTTTATCGTTTTCACGTTCGAAAAAGTCGGATAAAACTTTTCCAATTGCAAGTTTTCAAGTATCAGAGACATTTCAAGGTATCTTCGAAGTACTGATGAAGTTTGCTGTTCATGTTGCTATATTTCTACTGGTGTGGAGATCCGGGCCCCATGGAGTTAAAGCGGATCGCTGTGGGAGATGGAGGCCGCGCTGATGTCCCGAACAGCATTTTATGGAGACTGTCGGTGTGGTTGCCTCCCGTTGACTTGGGTGGTGACTTGGTACGCGATGACGAACAATGAGAGCAGCGGAGACGAACGAGAGCTTCACGCAGCTGACCGGGGCTGGCATTTGGGTCCTCACGAAGAACAGCGCGAACGTTTGCGGCACCTACGAGCTGAACGATGAGCTTTAGTAAGTCGCGCTCGCGTCCGAGTCCTGAACTACCGGCGTCTTCGACAGGAGTGTGACCGGCAGCAGTTCGTTCCTCTTCGACGCTGAGTTGATATTCTTGGAGTTCACGCAGTTCTTCACGGCATAACGCGAGTTGGTCGTCACGGATACGGAGCTGTTCTTGCTGCGTTGCCTCGCGTGCGTTTGCAGCGCTGAGCTGTTCTTTTAGACGAGCATTATCACGCTGCCAGACCTCATCATTCTGTTTAGGCAGCGCATCGAGTCGAATAGTTACATCGGTTGTGGCAAAGCATGATGCCAAAGTGTTAAGCCCCCTACCTTTGAGCTTGCCTCCAGAAGATCTTGCAATTCATGCTGCAATACCTCTAGTTTAGCACGCAGCTCGGTGTTCTCATTCTTGAGGTCTGTTTTGTCTTCTATCATAGGCAGGTCTCGCGAAACCTCTTGTTGGAATTCGCGTACAAGCTCGGTGTCGTCGAGGCTAAGCGTTATGCTCGACGAGGTGTATGTCCGAGCAACCACTGGTGCTGGAACGGGGGCAGCAACGGGTGAGGCCGGTACCGCGGCTACGCGGACAGGTTGTCGACCAAAGCTCTTTTGTGGGATTCGACCAGCGCTACTCTGCTTCATCGGAGACGTTAGCAGAGACGACGATGAGAACGATCGCTCCACAAACGAGATCCCTTCGAGAGTGGGCGATGAAGGCTCCTTAAAACTCATTGGATGGCGAATGAGAGTCTACCAGCAGAACCTGCTATCAATGTGGTATATTTGGCTAATGCTCTGAATAAATTGGGATTACTAAGCTCATTCGGTTTCGTACTTCTATAGCAGACCTTACTGGGGCGGGTGGTGGAGTTCAACGAGGCCCACGTACATGGTAGCACCCAGCACTGCGCCAATGAACGGGCCCAGAATGGGGATCCAAAAGTACCCGCCGTGTGAGGAGAATACCTTCCAGCCCCAGCCACCAAGAAGCGTTAGAAGGCGCGGGCCGAAGTCGCGAGCGGGGTTGAGAGCGTAGCCAGTGTTGAGTCCGAACGACATACCGATACCCGTCAGCAGAAGACCCACCGCACCGGGGAAGCTGTAGGGGCTGGCGGGCTTGTTGATCTGGTCGCACAACGCGAAGATGCCACCGACTAACAGAGCGGTGCCGATGACTTCGTTGGCGAATGCAGCCCAGTTGGGGATCTGTGGATTCGGGTATGTAGCAAAGATTCCTTGAGTGAACTCACGCTCCGGGTCTACGATGTCGAGCCATGGGTAGTAGACGATGAAGAGCACCAGAGCAGCGACGAAAGCGCCCAACGTTTGTGCGATGATGTAACCCGGCACTTTACGCCATTCGAAGCGTTTGAACAGCGCCATCGTGACACTGACCGCTGGATTGAGGTGTCCACCGCTAACACCACCCGAGAAGTGAACGCCAAATAGCAGTGCGATACCCCAGCAGAGATTCACCGATAGATAGTCACCAGCAGCCCTCTTGCTGAGCACGAACTGAGCCACGGAGCCGTCGCCGATCAGCACGAGAATGAATGTACCGACGAATTCGGCCATGTAAGCGCGCACATCCGGGTTCCGAATGGCGAAGGGAGCCAATCGACCATTGCCTTCGAGGTCAGCATAGCCACCGTAACCAGGTTTGTACTCTGCCATTTTTGATGTGAGTCTTGAGCTCCTGGCTTGGCTTGATCAAGTCGGTGGAAGACAAATTGACGACTGAAAGTTGAGAAGAAACTCGCCATTCACAAACTTAGATAGCTCTGCAATCCTCGTGTCTTATCGTTCAGCACGACCACTATTCTGCAAGCGTCTAAATTGGCACATGCAAGGCAGCCCAGGAATAGCGTGCTACTCATGTAGGAGACGAAGGTGTCAGTTTTATTCAAGAATACAACGTGTAATGGCAGTTCATGTTTATGCGAATGAATTTCGAGGTGAACGAAGTTAGGATACTAGTTTACCAGTTTCGCCCTCACACTACCCTTTGCTTACATTTACTGAGGCGGGTGGTGGGCCTCGATGAGACCCACGTAAGTGGCAGCTCCAACAATACCCCCGATAAATGGACCAACGATGGGAATCCAGAAGTAGCCGTCACGCAGAGTCCACACCTTCCAGCCCCATCCAGCGAAGAACGTAAAGAGACGAGGGCCAAAATCACGAGCGGGGTTGAGAGCGTAACCAGTGTCAAGGCCGAACGCCATGCCGATGCACGTAAGCATCAGAGCAACGGCACCGGGGAAGCTGTAGGGGCTAGCGGGCTTGTTGAGCTGATCACCGACAGCGAAAATACCGCTAACAAGCAAAGCGGTACCGATGATCTCGTTCGCGAGAGCCGACCAGTTGGGGATCTGAGCATTCGGGTAGGTGGCGAAGATACCTTGCGTGGTTTCACGTTCAGGATCGTGGATGTCGAACCACGGGTAGTACACGATGAAGACGATGATGGCGGCTGCGAACGCACCGGCAGTCTGAGCGACAAAGTAACCGGGCACCTTGTGCCATTCGAAACGCTTAAACACGGCCAACGTGAGAGTGACGGCGGGGTTCAGGTGACCACCACTTACGCCTCCGGCGAAGTGGATGCCGAACAAGAGCGCGATACCCCAGCACAAGTTCACGGACAGGTAGTGACCGGCACCGCCGCCGCCAAGCACGTACTGCGCGACGGAGCCGTCACCGATGAGTACGAGGATGAAGGTACCAACGAATTCCGCAAGGTAGGCGCGGAAGTTGGGGTTGTGAACGTGGTAGAACGGCAGGCGGGAGTTGCTCTCCAAGTCGTCGTAGCCCTGCTTGCTGGTGCCGTACTCTGTCATACTTGGTGCAGTGGTGGAGAATGTGGAGACTTGCTCGGAAGAGGGAAAATGAAAGAATGAGTTGAGCTAATGGCATTGTTCTGACCGGATCGCCTTGAAGCTGTTTGGTGTTCGTGTCCAGAAGGAAGGGCATAGAGGCGTCAGAGGACAAGCGAAGTTAAATATTATGTTCTCAATGAGAATCTCATGGCACAAACAGCTGCTCGCGACAGTTCGCTTCCACAGGAGCCACGAAAGACATGTATAAAAGCCGGAGCCGCAGGTTGCGGCGCCTTAACTTATCTACTCTAGCAGTACTTCCAGCAGTATTTCAAAGTAGTTGCTTTTCTTTTAAGGTATACGACCACCGAAGTAGAATCATTAGAGCTTTTTGAAGTTCGAGTTTTGATCATCATTTTTTGTATCGAGAATTCCTAAACTCACTCTGCAGACAGCGATCTTCCTCCAGTACATGTATCGCTCACCACTGCATTTGCGACGGTGATGCCATGTGGTGTGCGCGGAGCAGGACTGGCAGCCATGATATAATATGCACAGGGGGGGGGGCTTGGCTTCAACATGGCCAGACGCAATTGGGACATGGAAATTGGACTGGCACACGAAGCATCTTGGCGAAAGCCCTGCTTGCTCAAAGCCATCACTATCCGGCTTGCCACTATGGTTCTCGATGACCGTGCTGTTATGGCCAACTCGGTTGAAGTCTGTAGTAGTCAGGAGACGGCATAGCTTAGGACGTTAGAGTGTTAGTCTCAGTATGCCTCGGGTGACTGCACCTTACTTCAAATCTGTTCTCCGCTTCGCCCGCATCAACTGCGTCGGGATGCGGCATGCAGCACGGTCCGGGTAAATCCGGTGCCGCGACAAGTACGATGAATTTTGGATCGACGCGAAAAGGGGGTCCATCTTCGCTATTAAATGACCGATCTTAGGCGGTCACTCAAGGATAGGCTCAAGTGGAAGTGCAGAGCAAAGCACTGCTTGACATTCGTGGACAGCCATCGCCAGCTGGCTGAGAAAGACTATTGCAATGGTCGGCTGATGGATGTCATGGTCGGAAGAGACTGCAACTAATACATGTACCCTGTCATGCCCCCAACAGTTTTCTTGTACGGCTATCATACATTGCAACTAAAGGGTTAAGCGCTATAGAGCTCGTAAACTTGTACCAGGATGCAATCGCCTTACAGTTACCATCGTATTCGAGGGGTGGCGGCTCGTCAAGATTGACAATGTAAACCTTTGATCCTGTCTCGACAATATATGTATGCCAGTATACATGTAATACAGATTGCTGTCTCCGCAACTTCATGTCTTGCGTCTTTGTTCGTATCTTTTTGTGGCTTGGACGCAGTGAATCACCTCGGGATCCACAGGACAGCGGCAAGCTGTTCCTCCAGCAGCTGAGACCGCCTGGCATTTTTTTCAATAGGGTCAACATGTGGACGCATCTCGCCTCGGGCCGGAGCAACCAAATGTGTCTCTGTTGTGGATGGTCCTTATCCGCACTGTTCCGCCTTCAACCTGACTCTGATGTCTCTCTCACAAATGTCAAGAACGAGCAATCGATCAAGCTACTCATTCTCCAATTCTCCTCCTTCCAAACACATCTCCACCAAACCACTTCAACATGTCCGAGTACGGATCACTCAAAGCGGGATACGCTGATCTCCAGGGCAACCCGCGTTTGCCATTCTACCACATTGCCAACCCTGATGTCCGCGCCTACCTAGCAGAATTCGTCGGCACCTTCATCTTGGTGCTCATCGGTGACGGCTCCGTAGCGCAATACGTGCTCGGAGGTGGTGACGCTGGCCACTACTTGTCCGTGAATCTGGCGTGGGGTATTGCACTACTATTCGGCATTCACTTCTCCGGCGGCGTCAGCGGTGGGCACCTCAATCCTGCGGTTTCGTTAACCTTGGCAGCCTTCGGCCGCTTCGAATGGTACAAGCTCCCCGGTTACTTTATCGCCCAGACGTTGGGTGCCTTCGCTGCTGCTTGGGTCGTGTTCGTGGTATACTACCCGTGGTTCGACCTCCACGATCCCGAGCGTGCAACTACCCAGGGCATCTTCGCTACGTACCCGAACGAGCAGATCCCCAACTGGTGCGGCCTTGCTAACGAGATCGTCGGCACGGCTCTGCTTGTCAGCGGTATCTTCGCCGTTGGTGACCAGCTCAACAAGCCCGCTAGCCCCTACACGTTCCCGGCTGCTGTAGCGTTGATGCTGACCTGTGTCGGCATGGCGTTCGGCCTTGACACTGGCTACGCTCTCAACCCCGCTCGTGACTTTGGCCCTCGTCTCTTTACCTTCTTCGCTGGCTGGGGCTGGAAAGTGTTCACTGGCCGCAGTTTCTACTTCTGGATCCCGATCGTCGGTCCTTTCGTTGGCGGTTTGCTCGGCGCTGGTCTGTACGTCGGTCTCATTGAGAACTTCCATCCCCGCGAGTAAAGTACAAGCTCGACATTGGGCGTACACTAAGGTTTAGGCTGTACGGTGTAGTTTAACTGTCCTTGTCAAATACAAATGCTGTTTCTTTTGATACGACGAAGTGTTCGGCCAGTTAGTGATGATGATAAATTGGCCTTCTATTTGGTTTTAATGTGCCAGTCAGTAGGTATCATAAAAGCACTAAGAATCTTGTGCTGGTTTGCATTAGCTGTTGGCAAGCCTGTGCACGATAACGATTTCGTTCTAAATGCCAACGGTATTGCGAAGCCGTTGCATTTAAAAGCGCTCGATTTCCCATGAATGGAAATGTGCATCGACTCAACAAGGAGCCTAGCACCGCAAATAAAAGCACTGTTAACTATCCGCAAGTGTTTGTGTACTACACAACATGTAGGTAGTCTACAGTGTGTATGGGATTTTATAATGCATACTGAAACCAAGATGTGGGTCTGATACTGATGCCGGAAAAAAAATAGTCCAGAGATAAAATCAGATCGGTTCACTATTCTTCTTGTCAAGTCCAAGACAGTTAGATACTCCTCCCTCTTGATGCTGCGCTGCTCCGTCCTCTGCTCGCTGCTGCTGGCGCTCAGCTCGGCCGCCGTGCTGCGTGTGCCCATGATAAAGCGCAGCGACGACGATTTCATGTCCTCCCTGTTACACGACGTGCACGCCATGCAGCGCCCCGTCGTGTGGAGCCCGGACGCGTCCCCATTAAACCACGACGAGGGCCAGCCTAGTGTCGAGGGCTCGGCCAACGTCGTGATCCGCGACTTCCAGAACGCTCAGTACTACGGGGAAATCTCCATCGGAACGCCGCCCCAGCCCTTCGCAGTCATCTTCGACACCGGCTCGAGCAATTTGTGGGTCCCCGACAAAAAGTTTGGCTCGCATAATGTGTACGACCACGACAAGAGCAGCACGTACAAACCCAACGGCACAGCCTTCGACATCATGTACGGCAGCGGTCCCGTCTCGGGCTTCTTGTCGCAGGATACACTGGAGCTAGGCGGACTTACAGTGCCCGACCAGTTCTTCGCTGAGGTGAACGTGACCAAGGGCCTGGGTCCGGCCTATTACCTGGGCAAATTCGACGGTCTCTTCGGTCTGGCCTTCGATACGATCAGTGTGGATCACCTTAAGACCCCGTTCCACCGCATGATCCAGGAGGGTCTGATCGACGAGCCAGTCTTCGCCTTTTACTTGGGTGACCACAAGGATGGTGAGTTAACCTTTGGAGGAGTGGATAAGGCTCACTATAAGGGGGACCTCGAGTATGTGGATGTCACTAGTGCTACCTATTGGTCGGTCAAGCTCGATGCAGTCGAGACGAAGGGAGAGAAGCTGACGGACGTGGACAAGGCCATTGTCGACTCTGGCACCTCGCTCATCGCTGGACCCAAGGACCAGGTGGCCAAGTTGGCGGCGCTGGTGGGTGCTCACAAGTTCATTATGGGCGAGTACCTCATCAGCTGCAGCGCTGCAGCACCCGACATCTCGTTCGTGCTCAATGGCAAGTCCTATACGCTGACTAAGGAAGAGTACACGCTCAAGAGCGGCCCGATCTGCCTCTTCGCCTTCATGGGCATCGACATCCCGGCTCCCGCCGGCCCGCTGTGGATCCTGGGCGACGTCTTCATGCGCAAGCACTACACTGTATTCGACTGGGGCACCGACTCCCGCAAGCCACGCGTTGGCTTTGCACTCGCCGCTTAAGCTGAATCATCCGGTTGCCTGAACTTCAACAAATGACCAGTTGTTGAAGTCACAGGTTAGCGCTTCACAGATTGTTATGAAGGTTGCAAGATAGGGTACTTTACCCTGTCTGAGTGTGTTTAACATGTTGAAAATGCTCAAAAATGGCGCTTTTGAACCTCTTTATACGTCATAAGCAGTATTATTATCCTGTGCCGAATTCATTGCCAGTTTTGACTCGATGAGTAAGGCCAAGCAGCAGACTCCTCGCACTAGCGCTGGCTCGCCGTCTAAAGCCTCTCCTCGCGACGCCGATGCTTCACAGGCTTCTCAGCTCAGCGTGTTGGTGCTGCAGGCGGATGCACTAGAGCACGATGAAGCTGTGCGTCAGGAGCTCAAGCGCTGTGGCTTTGTCGTGAAGCACCAGACTCTAGTTCACCTTGCGATCGATGCAGCACGGCAATTTGTGCTGGACGTATGCAACCCCCACAGCCAAATGTATCAACCAGCAGTAGAGGAAAGCAAAAACGAAACGCAACCAACGTCCGAGCAGCATGATGCGGAGGCAGGAGCTACTCATGCACTCAATAGTGAAGTCAACTTGGAGACGACAGTCGAAGATAACGAGATGATGGAGCATGCCATTCACGCGCTAGCGAGCGGCCCAGCGCTGGTTCTGGGCGTCGAAAAGCCGAACGCTATTGCTGAACTACTGCAGCTCGTTGGACCCGCTGACCCAACCGTCTGGACAGAGAGTGCACCGTCTTGTTTTCGAGCTCGGTTTGCCAAAGACGCACCTCGGAAGCTTGGACTTCGCTGCAGTATTAGCGAGGTGACAGCTGCACAGGAGCTAGCTTTCCTGCTAGCACATTCAGGGAGCAAGACACACGCTTATAGTCAAAACCACGCCTCTGTAATGTCCCTGAATGGTAGAATTGGAGGCAAGACTGCAGTCATGGGGTTGGATCAACTCCTCAACTTTCTCTTCCCGGAACACTTACAGCACCCGACTTCAGCTGGTCGGTTGTTCGTGTTTGGGCTCTACGGACCTCTGGACGAGTACTCGAGGCTTCGTAGCGGGGAGAAAGGTTTGCATATTGTTACAGATCGTGAGTTAACGACCATGTCAGCTCGTATGGAGCGTGAGGATATCTTAGCGGTGTACGGTATGTGCTCACTGTCACAAGAAGAGGAAGAAGAAGTGGTGTGTCAAGTGGACCATCTACTCAAACGGTTCCCACAGTACACACCGCGAGACATTGAGACACTGTTCGCTCCATTACCTCGAGACTCGGACGGTAACATGAGCTTCCACGACATGCAGCAAGCTGTGCTGAAGGAGAGACTGCGTCGAGTCGTGTGTATGAAGGAGCGACTGCATCCAGCACTGGCCGAACCAGTTCGCAACCGATTTTCTCGCACACTCACTCGTGTGACTGCAACGAAAAGTTCTGGTCTAGTGAACGGAGCGCCATCGAGTTTCTTCCTTAAAGACGTCGGGGCAACCAACGTGGAGAACGCAGCGTTGGTCTCTCGTCTCCTGAGCACTCGAGCGTTCCAGATTTGCCAGATGGAAGATGGCAATTCACCTGCGCTCACTCAAAATGTGCGACTGGTACGTCTCGACAAAGCCCAGAAATTCGTCGAGCGCGAGCCGTGGAATCCAAACTGCCAAAAACGCAGTCATAACTAGGCAAAACACGTACTTCTACTTGCACTTCTCCACTCAGTTATTTTCCCTTGTTAAACTCACAAAGATTACAATTCTAGCCAATCAGAGCGATTTGTAGCTGCTCGCTTGTCAGACATGAGCCATTCGAGGAATCGACCGACATGCCGTTCGCGCAGATCGTGCTGGGGCCTCCTGGCTCGGGCAAGACGACGTACTGCAATGGCATGCAGCAGTTCCTGCAGGCCAACCACCGAGATGTGGCTGTTGTCAACATGGACCCGGCCAATGAGCAGCTACCGTATGTGGCCGACGTGGACGTGTCCGAGATGGTGTGTCTCGAAAACGTCATGGAGGAGCTCGATCTAGGTCCCAACGGCGGTGCGTGCAACAGTGCAGCTGATAGTGGGGACAATATATAGCGAATACAGTGTTAATGAGTTTAAATTGCAGGTCTCGTGTATTGTATGGACTACATCGACGTCAACTTCGACTGGCTGGAGGACAAGCTCGCAGCGCTCAAGGACAAGTACGTGCTGTTCGACTTTCCCGGCCAAGTAGAACTCTACACACACGAGAACAGTGTGCACAGTATTCTACACAAACTACAAAAACTCGGATACCGGGTAGGTGTAGTTGTCACTCATTGCGGTGCGAGCTTTTAAGATCTCACGGTTCTTGTGCTCTTTAGTTGGCAGTGGTGCACCTTGTGGACGCTCACCACTGCACAGACAGCTCTAAGTTCGTATCTGTAGTAATGCTGAGCTTATCTTCAATGGTGCGACTCGAGCTACCTCACATTAACGTCCTATCCAAGATCGATCTAATGCAGCAGTACGGTAAACTCGGTACGTTCCGATCATTTCGCTGTTGTACCCGCCTTAGCTGACTGAGCTTCTCGTGCACTGCAGCTTTCAATTTGGACTTTTACACGGACGTACTGGATCTACGCTATCTCTTGGACCGTCTGGACGAGCCTGATGACGCCGAAGATGAAAACCAAATCTCGCTCGAGCCACGACATACAACGATCCCCAACTCGAGACTCGCAGAGCGATTCCGTCGCATGAACGAGGCGCTGGTCGACGTCATCGAAGACTTCAGTCTCGTGAGCTTCTTGCCTCTGCAGATCCAGGACCCAGCCACGATACAGAAGGTCGTTGCAGCTATTGATAAGGCCAATGGTTTTGTCTTCACCGGTGTGGATTTCCAAACTGCAGTCGTCAAGGACTACGCCTTCGGAGACCAGAGTGTACCTGACGTTCAAGAAAAATACATCGACCAGTAAGGCTCAAGCCCTTAAAAAGTTCCTTTGTATTACCCTCTCAATGCCCTGCTCCTGTCTAAAAGAAAATGCCTCCTTCTTCTTCTTCCGCTGCTTCGTCGACGTTGCTCAGATATTGCTCGTAAGTGGATGATGTGGGGTGCAACGAGGGCATCCCTGCCGTAGATAACGAGCTCATGGACATTGAGTTACGCCCACCCATCGCCCCACCCAGACTTCTACCGGCAATACCGCGACCAGCCAGTGAGTTTGTAGTACTTGACTGCATGTTCTCTTCTGTCGCTGGAGCCTCTTCACCCTCCGCTAAACTCTCAAATGGCGACGACTTCATGTCTTCAAAGCTACCGTCACTCATGTAACCCAAATTACCCGACGGCCGGTTAAGTCCCGCCTCATTACGCTGGAACGACAAAAGTCCTCCACTACAAAAACCGTATCAGTAACATAATCAGAAAATAAATAACATACGGTAATTTACCTTGTCGTATTGCGGTCAAATAGCCGCAAGTCGTTCATGGAGAAGTTGCGCTTGGCCGCCGTCGATACCTTGGTCATTGCGTGCACAATCTCCATAACTTGGTCCACATCGTTCACAAAGTACTTAGCAGCACTGGGTTTCTTGCCTACAGTCACTGTGAACATGTTGCGTCGACTGCGAACATCCTCCAGGTACTGGAACATGAACTCGTCCGATAGATCGTCACCCACACACAAAATAAAGTCGACGTATTGGCCACTGGTAGACTCGATCGTGGACAACACGCGGTCTACAATCACTCCCTTGTCCACACCTTCTGGACGCACTTCGAGATAGTCTGTACCCGTCACCACTTCTACTTGGAAATGCTCCAATACCTGCAGAAGTTGATCGTGCAACTCCTTCGCTTGCAACTGACCGAACTCCGGGTCAGCATCACGGTACTGCCACAGCAACGCACTGCCCTTCAGCTCAATGTACGTGCCGTGTGTGCGTTGCGTATAAATATCCATGACGGCGTGCGTCACATCCTTCCACGAGTCATCAAAGTTGTCCTTCGTGCACAACCAAACTCCTTCCTCCACTTCACTGGCCATACTGTTGGAGCTGCTGCTGCTAGACGGTTGTGCCATACTCCCAGCACTAGCGTTCGCTCCAGTCCCCCACTTGTACAGATATCCATGCTCCGCAGCAAGTCCCAACCCACGCACCGAGCCCAGCGTCTTTTCCAGATCCAAGCGTTCCTTGCCACTTAGTACGAATACTGTGTTCCGCGGGTCAGCACACAGCAACGTTAACGAAGCTAGAAGATCAGACGACGCCTTGGGAGCCTCCGTCTTGGACACAAACGCATTCTGCTCATTACCCGTGATGTACTTGGAGAAGTTGTGCGTGCCAGCAGGTTCTTCCAGTGTGAGTGTGTTGCCGTAATCGAAGAAGATCACACGACGGAATGTATCGCGATAAGCCTTGGCTACAACGTCAGTCTCCAGCATCTTGAAGCCGGCGTTGAACTCCAGCATTCGGAAGCCCAAGCCAAGACCGTACCCCATGTACTCGCCCTCCGCCGTCTGCTTCTTCGTACGCTTGAGATCCACCAGAATACGCTCCGCCCATTTCGTCCTCGAGTTCGTAATGATATACTCCAAATCTTTCTGATGACGCGCAGCTCGCTCCTCGTCAGACATTGTCAGTGCCAATTCCATCGCCTGAATAATCTCGTCACGTTTCCACGGGTTCACAGCCACACTGCCAGTCAATACGCGACTACTACCAGAGAACTCCGACACGATCACAACACCGGGAGACTTGGCTAGTTCATGTGCGTAGATGAACTCGAACGGGTAGAGATTCACAGCGTCACGCACTGAAGTAGTGAGTAATACATGACCCACGCGCCAGAGTGGGAGTCTCGAGGCCATGTCCGTGTTCTCCACTTCTGAATAGGCAAAGACTGGCTCGTTCCGGTTGGCGCCAAAGCGGTCGTTAATGCGCTTCATATGCGCCAAGATCTCCGCACGAACACTGTCCTTCTCGGGAGTAGGATTGGAAGAGTCCCAGATACCGATCTGCACGAACTGCACCTTGTCCACGTACTCCGGATGTTGCGCCAGGAAGAACTCGATAGCTCCAAGTTTGAGTAAGATTCCCTTCAGTCGTTCCACTCGATCCACACTCACAAATACCTTACGCTTGCTGCTCTCATACTTAGCCGCAAGCACCGCTGTATCCTGCTCCACTTGGACGCTAGAATTAATCCTGTCCATGAACGAAGGCTCGATACCGATATGGCTGATAGTCAGCATCACCATGCGGCCATTATACTCCACGCCAATGTAACCACCAGGCTGCACGCTGTACTTGAGACCAAGAATGCGACGACAACTCGTCAAGAAGTGACGCGCGTGTTCGTACAAGTGGAAACCGATATGGTCCGACGCCAGGACTCCACGTAGCAGGTCTGCACGCATTGATAGCGTCCTAAAGATCTCGGAACTGGGGAATGGCGTGTGCAAGAAGATACCGACGTTGACGCAGGGTAGACGACGAGTCAGGAAACTCGGCGCAACTAGTAGATGAAGTCCGTGTACCCACACTAAGTCGCCTTCGTTGTACACTTCAATGACCTTGTTGACGAAGATCCGGTTAACTGTCTTGTAGCTGGCCCAGGCATTGCGTTGTTGACTGGGGTTCCACCAGCGCGTAGGGAGAGCTCCATACACATCCACGATATTGTGGAACACAGGCCAGAGTGTTCCATAGCAGAAATTGTGGAACGTCGAGCCTAGAGGTTCAGATAGAAACACCGGAACGCAGTGGAAGTCCTCCAGTTGCTTGGCTAGTCGCTCTTCGTCTTCCTTGGGGATAGGCTCAGCGCAGTGGACCGTTCCGACCCACGTTAACCTCATCGAACTCACACGGTCCCAATTGGCTTCACGATACGAGTCTTTCAATAGTCCAGACGGACAAATTAGGTTGTCATCTTCCCATTCAATATGGTAATGACCCTCTGGAGTGCGATGTACAAGAACTGGCAGTCTGTGGACAGCGATAATCACTCCATCCGTCGCCTCCATCGTCACGTTACTGGCTGTCGGTCGAGGCGACGTGGGGCTTGCCACTTCCTCTCCTAACATGGGCCCTGACCCCGTTCTCACTCTCGCAGATGCGTGTCTTGACAGACTGGCAGTGGGACTAGCAGTCTGTTCGTTCTCCTCCATCACGTCCGTCAACAGTCTGCCAGAGCCTGGTGGTCGTCTGTTATTGCGATGCAACGTACTGCCTCCATCTTCCGTCCCATTAGCGCGTCGATCCACAAAAGCCTGACCGGAACTGAGTCTCGGGATAACCCCCCAAAACGCAGGAGGCGGGACGTCCTCGTCGCTGGCGTCGGCGGTCTGATCGGCGTCTGAATTCACGACTGTGGAGGTTCCTGTGGTGTCGTCGTCGCTGCAGACCGAGGAGCGACGTCTGGGTCGCCCATCCAGTGTATCTTGTGTCTGTACGTAGCCTACGCCCACTGTGAGCTCTCTGGTGACGGGACCGGACTCAGCTGTACCTTCATAACGCAAGAAGCGACTGCCGGAGCATACAGCATAGCGATAGCGCACCACAGAGCCCGCAGGCGCTAACACGGGCTCTAAATTGTACCAAATAGGGTACAGATCCGGTGTCGTGACTAGTTGTAGACCGCCCTCAGCGCCTGCGCCGCCTGTATTGGGCACCACATCCACGGAACCTCCGAGCGCTGGTAGATCCCCTACGAGCCACAGCGTCTGGCCGTGACCCAGCGGCGCACACACCTGGAAATCCACCCTCGTACCGGGTGGGGAAGCGGGCAGTCCCCAGCCCACGGCGTGACGCAGCCGCTGCAGCATCTTACGGTGTCAAAACCTGCTAATAAATGACAAAAAGGGGTGTGAACCATAAGAACATCAAGCCAAAGACGTGAAGGATGGGAGGAAACGGGAAGTGAGCGTACTGTGTCGCTTGGAGAGGCGCTGCTGTTGGCGGCTGAGCCTCAAGGCTTTGGCCGTCTCTCTCTCCTCGAGTCGAGGAGCTCGCTCCGCCTCCTGCTTCCGCTTGTTGGGGCGTGAGGTGCTGTACCCAACAAAAGAACAAAAACGCTCGGACTTAGGCGAGTGAGTCACTCAAATGAGAGTGACATTTATGTACAATTGGTGTACAACTTCACTTCAATCACTGTAACGTCGAGCAGCTACTGAAGGCGGCTAATGGGGCAGCTTCTTCGGCAGGCAACTTCTCGCTGGATGTCGCGGCTATCTACAGCAATATAAAGAGCAAAGATGCCCGGGTGTCTGGGTCTTCGTTAGTGTGTTCTCACCTAAAAGGAAGGCACTCTAGGTCGAGAGATTCAGCTCGCTTGATTTTATTAGGGAATCTCTGCAATTCCGCAAGCTCACTCCAAGCAGCAACTTCAGATCTCTGCATCTGCCATTGCTGCCAATCCGTCGTACTTTTCATTGAAGTACGTGTCAAGTCCGATCGCCGCGACGGCGTCGTCATTCGATGTGGACAAGGACAATCATGTTATCTAGGCTTAAGATGCGACTGCGACGATCATTCGCTACGACCAAAAACTGGCTGCATTCTCCTCATTTATTCTACAGTGAGCACCTTGAGCATGTTGGTGGAGCCCGAGCGAGCTTCCACCATACCGTGGAGAGCGACGACGTTGTCGCCAGGCTTGACCCAGCCGAACTGCTTGCCCAGATCCGTTGCACGGTACAAGATCGAGTCTGTACCAATCATCGAGCCCATGCAACGAGACCTCACGCCCTTGTAGAAGCCCTCAGCTTGGCGAGCGCTGCCAGCCATAGCCGTAAGCACCAGGACGGGCATCGAAGGACGGAACTTGGATACCAGACGAGCTGTGCTGCCCGATTCCGTCAGCACCACAATCATCTTGGCCTTGATATCGATAGCAGTCTTAACAGCCGACGACGCAATAGCCTCCTGTGTGGACATGGGGCCATAAGTGTCCAACACAGCGTTGCGCAGCGACTGGTACACGTCGTCGTAGTGGATGGCTCCTTCGGCCTGCAGACAAATCTTGGACATCATCGTCACGGCCTCAGTCGGGTAGTCACCGTTCGCAGTCTCACCCGACAGCATCACAGCGTCTGTACCGTCTAGCACAGCGTTGGCCACGTCCGTGCACTCTGCACGAGTCGGTCGGGGTGCCTTGATCATCGACTCAAGCATCTGCGTGGCAGTCACCACGGGTTTACCAGCGATATTCGCCTTACGGATCATCATCTTCTGGGCCAAAAACACCTTCTCCGGAGGGATTTCCATACCCAGATCACCACGAGCAACCATGATACCGTCCGTCTTGGCCAGGATCTCGTCAAAGTTCTCCAGGCCTTCATGGGACTCAATCTTGGCAATGATCTTGATACCGCGACCGCGGGGGCCAAGCACCTTACGGATATTGTCAATGTCCTGGCCCGTACGCACGAACGATGCCGAGATGTAGTCGACGCCGTGCATGAGGCCGAAGTTCACCAGATCGTCCTCGTCCTTCTCGGTCAAAGTGGGTAGTAGCACCTTGCAGCCCGGTAGGTTCATGTTCTTACGCTCGCCGATGGTTGCGGTGTTGTTGGCACGGCAAACGATGCTGTCGTCCTTGATCTCCAGCACAGTGAGGACCAGCGAGCCATCGGCCACTAGCACAGAGCCGCCGACGCTGACGGACTGCGGCAGCTCCGGATACGAGCATGCGATCTTGGTCTCATCACCGAGGAACTCGTAGTCCGTGGTAAGCTCAATAACGGAGTCCTTCTGGATCGTTACCTTGTCCTTGTTGGCCAGGAAACCGGTACGGATCTCTGGTCCTTTGGTGTCCAGCATGACGGCGACGTTCTTGTGCGGACGCGAGGCCAGTGCGCCACGCAGACGGTTGAGCGTGTCGGCGTGGCTGACGTGGTCGCCGTGCGAGAAGTTGAAGCGCGCCACGTTCATGCCGGCGTCGATGAGCTCGCCGATGCCGTCCTGGGACCAGCAGGCCGGGCCGAGCGTGCAGAAGATCTTGGTCTTGCGCTCCACACCTTCGGTGCTGCGCATGATGTTCTCGAGCTCGACGCCCTGCTGACTGAGTCCGATGGCTCCCGACATGGTGGATGTTCTTGATGCTTTCCTTTGGCTTCGGCTTTTGTGCTTGAGCGCGTTTTTGAGTGTGACGATGGGCGGATACTTTGCCTTACCTTTGACCCTGATTCGAGCTTGTTCGTGTTTTTGTGACATGGATGATGCCGCGACGACATTGCGAATGAGATTTGTCCGAGAGAAAGAGTCACGTTTTGAAAGGAAATGTTTGGAATGAGGGAGTTTTTGGGACGGACACAGATAGTTGAAGCTGAAGCGACAAGAAAGCACTTTTTCTTAGTACATTCGCATATTCTAGGGACTATTACATTCTAAATCCTTTTCTAGATTTTAGCGTATCAGTGACAGCAACGATTTATTGGTTAAAAATGTGGTATTAACTTATCAGAATTAACCATGATTTGATTGGTTAAACTAAACTGCAGTATCCTTTTGTGCCTGCTCTGATTGGCCAAAACGCTTGGAACCGCAGTTCTGCAAATTGCAAGCGCATTGTATCTTTGAGGGCAGTCACCTCCCCGGACCTTCAGCACTGGTCGCGTTGCTGACACTGCTCACGTCCGCAACCCCGGTAAAGGATGCATCTACATACATGTACATATACATCCCTCAGTGATAGTGGCAATTTCCACTGCTCAATGATCTTCTGATACGATTCAATAGACTCAACAATGATCTTTATTTCTTCATCGTTATTGAAATACACAGCCACTAAATTTACTCGACGTACAAGACCTTCAGCAGATTGGTCGAGCCAGACTTGGCCTCCTGAATGCCGTGTACGGCAACGACGGCGTCACCCTTCTTCAGCCAACCTAAGTCCTTGCCAGCCTCCGTGGCGCGATACAAGATCGAGTCCGTGCCGATCATCGATCCAACGCAGCGAGACACAACGCCCTTAACAAAGCCCTCCGTCTGGCGGGCAGTCTGCTCCAAAGCCGTCAGCACCAACACCGGCATCTCCGGGCGGTACTTGGCAACCAGACGGGCCGTGTTGCCCGTCTCCGTCAGCACCACCAGCATCTTGGCGTTGATGTCGATGGCCGTCTTCACGGCCGACGAAGCAACGGCCTCCGCCGTCTCCATCGGGCCGTTCACCTCCAACACAGCGTTACGCAGGGACTGGTACACATCGTTGTAGTGGATGGCAGTCTCGGCCTGCAGGCATGTGGCGGACATCACCTCCACGGCCTGTCGCGGGTAGTCGCCGTTGGCACTCTCACCCGAAAGCATCACAGCGTCCGTTCCATCAAGCACAGCGTTGGCCACGTCCGTGCACTCGGCACGGGTCGGGCGCGGGGCCTTGATCATCGACTCAAGCATCTGCGTGGCAGTCACCACTGGCTTACCGGCCAGATTGGCCTTGCGGATCATCATCTTCTGGGCAAGGAACACCGTCTCGGGGGGGATCTCCATACCGAGATCACCACGAGCAACCATGATACCGTCCGTCTTGGCGAGGATCTCATCGAAGTTCTCCATGCCCTCATGTGACTCAATCTTCGAAATGATCTTGATGCCGCGGCCACGGGGGCCAAGAACTTTACGGATGTTGTCGATATCCTGGCCCGTACGCACGAACGATGCGGCAATGTAGTCAATACCGTGCACTAGGCCGAAGTTCACAAGATCGTCCTCGTCCTTCTCGGTCAGAGTGGGTAGCAGCACCTTGCAACCAGGCAAGTTCATGTTCTTGCGCTCGCCCAGCGTAGCCGTGTTGTTGGCACGGCAAACGATACCATTGTCCTTGATCTCCGTGACCGTCAGCACCAGCGAACCATCGGCCACCAGCACCGAGCCACCAACCTTGACGGACTCTGGCAGCTGAGGGTACGAGCATGCGATCTTGGTCTCGTCACCAAGGAACTCGTAGTCCGTTGTGAGCTCGATGAGCGAGTCCTTCTGGATCGTTACCTTGTCCTTGTTGGCCAGGAAACCGGTACGGATCTCCGGGCCCTTCGTGTCCAACATGATGGCCACGTTCTTATTGGGACGCTTGGCCAACGCAGCACGCAGGCGGTTCAAACAGGCGAGGTGGCTGGCGTGGTCGCCGTGCGAGAAGTTGAAGCGGGCCACGTTCATGCCGGCATCAATGAGTTCCAGCAGACCCTCCTCGGACCAGCAGGCAGGGCCCAGCGTGCAGAAGATCTTGGTCTTGCGCTGCACGCCCTCGACGTTGGCCTTGATGCAGTCGGCGCTCTGCAGGTTCAGGGACAGAGCAGCAGACATGATGGTCTAGAAGTTGGGAGTGTGGAGTTGCTTGTGTAGTTCTTAGAGCAAAATGCAGAATGACGTAGCTCCTTGCACGTAAAATGCCAACCGCCAAAATCCGCTGGACGAGGGCAGAGCAAAGAGCATGGGAGACTTCCATCTGGGCCGGCCTTCAGCTGGTTTAACCACCATTATGCGCCCACGTACGTCTTGTGCCGCAGAAACCAGCCATGCTGCGCATACCTATGCAAAAAAACGTAGAGCTTTGGTGCTTGGGGACGAATTTCCAAGCACCAAAGCCCCGACTCTGTAAATGAATCTCAAGGGAAATGGGCGAGTTTGGTTGACTTCCTCCGCTCACATGCAGGCGGCGACAGTCCTGTACGCGCCATTTACTTGGCATCTCTAGCAACCTGAGAGCTACGAATATGCTGTCCTACATGGAGGCGTACGAATGGCTATTCAACTATAGCGACAGGCACGAGCATGGGCTGACAAACAATCGACGTCGTCGACTGCACGGACGAAAGAAAGCTCTCGTGCATGGGATAGGTGCCTTCTGCGACAATCGCCCGGAGCTTTGATTGCTCCTTGCGGTGATTGCTGCGGGTGGCGACGCGAATTCAGTCGCCGACACCGGCACTCTGCCAGTTTAAAGTGAGGGCAACAGCACCGACGCCTCCGCGTTTCTGAGCGAATTTTAAGACGTTTCTCTGCTGAAGAGCAGCAATGCTATGCGATTAACCGCGGCGCGCAGATTAAATCTCGCCACGTGGCTCTGATGGCGGATCTGCGACGAACTCGAGCCGAAAGCTTGCATTGCTTGCTCGCTTTCGTACAGGAAATGGCCCGTGGGCCATGTCCAGCGCGATGCGATGCGCTGTTGGACCGAATAGAGAGCAAGATACCACGAGCAGCAGCAGGGCAACGTGGGTGGATACCCTGCCGATTATCGGCTCGATAGCGGCTTGAAGGTTCGCTGTGGTCTTCGTACACGCTTCATTAGATTTATGGTTGCGTCTGCGGAGTCACGACCACAAGCTGTCGTAATGCGGTCAACTGACGATCAGATCCGGACAAAGAGGGCTACGAGAATCACTACACCAAAGGCCGATACGGTCCAGATGCAATGTACATGATAGAGCAGGACTCTTCCACTTATTCATAGTGCAAGGCGTCTGGCTGTTCTCGTTGCGGCCGACACAGAAGGCGATAAGGGCGTCAATGAACGAGCACCGCGCGGCTTCGTGGGTAAGTTTCCAAGACGCAACGTAAAGACGATGGAACGATGAGATGCCTACTCAAGGAGCAAGAGCTACGGCGCTTTGGCGATATTGGAACCGAACTCACCGCCTCATAGATTACGGAGAGCAGAAGAATGGCACAGGAATTTCCTGCCAGGAAAAATGACAGGCTTGAAAGAGTCCCCTCCCCATCGACGCTTGAACGATTGTCACGGGATCCACGATCTCGCTGAGATTCACACACCTTGTCATCGCTTCCACAGCCTGGAACCGTGGCTTCTCATCAGTGCGTTTAAAGCTGCATTGCCCCAGAGTTTTTCACCTCGATCACGGGACGTAGCATTCTAACGGCATGGACTGCGCATCGCCGCTTCAATTTCCCCATTTATCGTCTGCTGCATGTGTATGATGACGCCGAAATGCAGACATGCTAATACATGGCGCGTCATCGACTCAGACATGCGACTGAAAAGGGCTTAATCCCGACTTTAGATTCCCAAGCCGTACTCCAAGAATAGTGGAATACTCCAAGAATAGTGGAACACTGAAAATATCAGAGACCATGGCAAGTTGAAGCAATCTCAAGATCCTTTTTAACAAGTTGCTATTGAGACCGACTGTATTTTACAAAAACCGAGTGGGTTAGTTTGCACACCATCTCCTGCGACCGTCCTCCCGAAGCAGCCAAAGAAAGATGAGGAGCTCATTGTGATTTTAGCATCACCAGCACCAAGCCAGAAACGACCGAAACACACGAGGTAAAAATGGCCTCCCCTACCGTGACGCCAACGTCCCCAAACCCATTTTCATCCCGGACATGGGCGGTGGTGTGGTGTCTCGGCCAGTGAGAGGATCTGATCGTTGCTACAGTGCGTCACGACGGGGTGCACTGGCCGAATCTTCATGGCTAACTAACACGTGTTCAAACCGTTGCATGAAATGTAGCCATGTCGGGAGCACTAGGACTGCGTCAGCAGGGCGTGGAGCTCGAGAGCATCATGCGCAGCGTCGAAGGCGTAGAGCGCAAGACGCGCATCTTCTGCACGCTGGGCCCTTCCTGCTGGACCGAGGAGGGGCTGGGCGAGCTCATTGACTCCGGTATGAACGTGGCCCGCTTCAACTTCTCGCACGGCGACCACGCCAGTCACGCCGAGACACTCAACCGTCTGCGCTCTGCGCTGGCCTCGCGTCCGCACAAGAATATCGCTATCATGCTGGATACCAAGGGCCCGGAGATCCGCACAGGTTTCCTGGCCAACAAGGACAAGATCACCATCAAGAAAGGCTCGACAGTCGAGCTCACCACGGACTACGAGTTCCTAGGCGATGAGACCAAGATCGCCTGCTCGTACCCGGAGCTACCGCAGTCCGTCAAGGTCGGCGGATCAATCCTCGTGGCTGACGGCTCGCTGGTGCTCACAGTTACGGAGATTAAGGACGACAGCGTCGTGACTCGGGCCAACAACTCGGCCACACTGGGCGAGCGTAAGAACATGAACTTGCCTGGCTGCAAGGTGATGCTACCGACTCTGACCGAGAAGGACGAGGACGATCTGGTGAACTTCGGCTTGGTGCATGGTGTGGACTATATTGCCGCCTCCTTCGTGCGTACGGGCCAGGATATCGACAATATCCGCCAGGTGCTTGGCCCTCGTGGCCGCGCTATCAAGATTATCGCCAAGATCGAGAGCCAGGAAGGCCTGGAGAACTTTGACGAAATTCTGGACAAGACGGACGGTATCATGGTGGCCCGCGGTGATCTGGGCATGGAAATCCCGCCTGAGAAGGTGTTTTTGGCCCAGAAGATGATGATCCGTAAGGCGAATATCGCTGGTAAGCCAGTGGTGACCGCCACGCAGATGCTGGAGTCGATGATCAAGGCACCCCGACCGACTCGTGCAGAGTGTACCGATGTAGCCAACGCTGTGCTAGACGGTACGGATGCTGTGATGCTGTCGGGCGAGACTGCGAACGGTGACTACCCGACTGAGGCCGTGCAGATGATGTCCAAGATCTGCGTCCAGGCTGAAGGAGCCATCCACTACAACGAGCTGTACCAGGCTCTGCACAACTCGGTGCTTGACACGTACGGCCAGATGGATACGCAGGAGGCCATCACGTCGTCGGCAGTGAAGACTGCTATCGACATTAACGCCAAGATGATCGTGGTGCTGACGGAGTCTGGCAACACTGCGCGTCTGGTGTCCAAGTTCCGTCCTTCGATGCCTGTATTGGTGCTTACAGCTCTGGGTGGAACTGCTCGCCAGGCTGAGGGCTTCAATAAGGGCGTCACTGCGCGCTGCATGGGCTCGATGATCGGTACAGACTCGATCTTGTATCGTGCAACGGACTTAGGCAAGCAATTTGGCTGGGTGAAGCCTGGTGACAACGTCGTCGCTCTGCACGGCATGGTGGAAGCGCGCTCGGGATCGACTAACATGCTCAAGGTGCTAACTGTGGAATAAGCGGACAGCGCACTGCATTTAAAACCCACCTACTTGTCCACTGGGCAGCGAGCGTTGAGGCAACATACTAAAGCAAAAATGATCACTAATGTAGCTTCACAATTTCACAATCCACCTTGGTTCGTTTGCAAGTACAAGCACCAGAAACGAAGCAGAAGCGTCTGCTGTTGCTATTGAGATTTTAGAACCATCACAGCCGTAGTGTCGCCATATATTCGAAATCAAGTTGTCGTCTCGCAATTCCAGGAGGACTGTACATGATGCCAGACGCATTGTGAACATCCTTCAGCCATTGTTCAATTTGCTGTGGGGTGTGTCCGTGAAAAGAATTTGACGAATAGACCATCAAATGAAGAGCACGTCGAACGCTGATATCGGGGTGCTGCCAGAGGTATGCGACTTCGAATGTTTCCTTGCAGCTTTTGACTGACTTCAATGCTGTCGTCTTGCACAGGAAACAGCTACAAGTTCAATTCTGACGCCGAGTTGTAACTACAAGAAGCTCTGTAGTAATCTCTCAGCCTACATGGACGTCTCTGGCCAGCTTCGAGCAAAACGTAAGGAAGTCTATGAAGCCGATCAGCGTAGGGAGCTGAAGGACCAACAAGCAGCACTCGATTTGTCGGTTGAGGTGGCCAAGTTAAAGCATTTGAGTGACAGGATGCGGCTGTTGGTATGCGGACAACTTCGGGAGGTCATCAACGAGATTCATCAACATTTGAATATCACATCGAAACAGACAAACGATGGTTCTGCCAATGCAATTGAAACGAATGGCTACACGTTAGAGCTCGCCGACAAATGCACCGAGTTGCTGCACTCCATCACTTTCACTGCCATCAAAGAGGAGATATACGAGAAGGAACGGCTACAGAGCAATGCCCTACTGCACAACGGCAAGAGTACCGCGTACATTGTTCTGCGCAGTCGCTGGCGGGTACGTCCACGGTCATGGTAAGCTGTAGCAAGATGTTGTCTTTGTCTTCGGTAGCAAGATACAAGTTGAAGTAAGAGTGATGGTCTTTCAATATCCACTTCCTTCTTCCGCATTGTCCGCACTCTTCAATTTGCCCCCATACAGTCACAGGGCTAACGACACCATGAGTGCGGAATACAAGCAACAACTATCGGACAAACGGTTCGACAGCGTGCGAGTGAAGCTCCTGCAGCTCATCAAGTCTCACGACGCGCTTGGCTACGCGATGAACGAAGTCCGCACTCAGCATGCGGCTGAGCGATCGCGTGATGCGGAGGCGGATTTAGTGGAGGCTGACCAGCACCTCGTCAGCTTCCTGCGCCTCATCGCAGCAGCGAACAAGGACATGAAGCAAGTGGAGCAACAGTCGAGTGTATCGTATCTCCTCGCCATGCAGGTTCTTGAGACTGCTCAGCGCACCAACGACATCGCGGAAGAGTTCAAGGCTCAGTGTACCTACCTGCGCGCGCAATCCCGCAAGCAACGAAAGCGAACCCACCCAGACGATATGCCGTGCCTCGTTATCCTTGCCGTGGTGGTGGCGGTTTGGTATCTGTTTTCTCGCTGAAGCAGGATGATTTGCGGTGACATTAAACACCAAGACGCAAGAGTAGCTAACGGCTCCAGCCAAACTGAAGTGGCAGTAGCTGCATCCTTTAACCATAACAAATGATGAGTAATTTCTGGCATCTCTTTTCTGTATTTATTCACCCACTCTGCCCACAGACGCTCGCTCGTCTCGCTCAGAGCGCTGCCGTCCATGGCGAGCGGCCCGATCAGCGTTTCTTGAAGCCGTACTTCTTGCGTTCATAGAAAAGATCAGTCTTGGAGCTGCCTAGGTTGACAATCTTGGGACAGCCATCACGGTCCTTCTCCAACTGCGTACACTCGCGACAGTAATAAGCATCCGAAATGCCAGGCCCGCCGCAGATGACACATCGGCCCTGGTATGAGCCGTAGTTGCACTCATCGCAGATACGGACCAGCGTGCATGGGCGTACATACGAGTCGCAGATCACACACTTGCCGTCGTCCTTCTCGCAAAGGCGGCCAATAGCCACGCCCGGCTGCTTGCGGCACATGACAAGGTCTGGGTGGTGCTTCGCCATAGTTACTGCTTCTTGGATTGAGCTACACAAGATAACACCAATATCCGTCGTAATAGCATTAATGGAGCCTATCGAATAGCATTCAATTGCTTGCACTTTGATTGGTGGAGTCCTGTACTGATTCCACCAATCATAAAGCATACAAATTTGGCGCCTTTTCCCAGGTCCTCTGGTCTGAAATTACTTGTGCGAAAGGGCCTCTAATTCGTGATAGTGACTATGTTGGCACAACATTTTACGGGACAAAGCTTCTTTTAAATTGTAGGGTAAGGGATAAATACACTTGTTGAAGAGCGTCCACCAATCAGATTTAACTGAATCAAAGAGATGATGAGCAATCGGCGGGGCGACGTCTTATTTCCATATTTTAAGCAGGTTATTTTTGTCACACATTCAAATAGAGCCAGCTGTAAAGAAATTTGTATGGTATAGTGAGCCCCTCATTCTCCCTTTTGCCTGCGCTGACTATACGGCATACTCAAGAGAAGTCAAGCCCGTTTCGCGCCTACAACGACAAGCATGGAACCACTTGCAGCGAATGAGCATGGAGCTGGCGCGGCCTGGGCGGCTATCAAGACGGAGGCCGCTGGCGGCAAGAAGCGCAAGCGTCTGCAGAAGAAGGCGCCTGGGGCGCCCAAGCGCGGCAAATCTCCGTACATCCTGTTCTCCATGGAGAAGCGCGAGGAGATCAAGGCCACGATGCCCGAGAACTCCAAGGTGACGGACGTGATGCGCGCCATCGCTGACGCCTGGGGCAAGATGAGCGACGAAGACAAGCAGCCATGGAAGGTGGCAGCCGAAGCGGATAAGCAGCGCTATGAGGAGGAGATGGCAGCCTACGACGGCCCTCTACGCGTACCCAACAAGCGCGCCAAGAAGCACCCGGACGCTCCAAAGCGCGCGTCCTCCGCCTTCCTCTTTTACAGTCAAGTCATGCGTCCGCGTATCAAGGCTGAGCACCAGGACATGAAGAACACGGAGATCTCCAAGCAGCTGGGCGAGGCCTGGGCCAAGGCTACGGACGAGCAGAAGGCTCCGTTTGTCGAGAAGGAGAAGGCCGACCGTGCGCGCTACAAACGCGAGATGGAGGAGTGGAACAGCCACAAGGCCGAGCGCGAGTACAACGAGTCCCAGCAGCAGTATAACAACTACGCGGCCATGACGGGCTTCGACCAGATCAGCTACACGGGCTCGTACTCGACGACGGAGGTGTAGGCCAAGCGTCCGCCAGATCTTCCCCCGGGTTTTGCTGCCTCTTAACTTTTTTTTACGTCCGGGGGCTGCTTTGCTCCAAACAAGACGCCGACGCTCTCTGTACGCGCCGAGAGAGCGCTGGGAAACCGCGGAGCCAACCGTGCGCGTCGTCGAGCATGAAGGAACATCTCCAGTTCTTGTGATTGCATAGTGTACGTAACGTATCCTTCCCCGACGCATATATTGCCTTAAACTTTGCACGCTCGTGTCCTCCTTCCTTGTGTTCTTTCCTTGACGAACTCGCTTGGCGAGCCAAAGAAATGTTGGCGGTAATGATGTGCACTTCTGCTTGGGCTGTCGTGTTCACGCCTGGCCTGGCCTCCGCTTAACGCTCTTTGAACAGATCCCAGCATCTTCAGTGGCTTTGCGATGCTGTGCTGCAAGCTCAACTTGAGAGGCTCAAGATCCTCTTACTAGTATAGCGTTGGCTTTTGGAATGTTATGTGTATTTGCTGCGATTAGTAGGAACGAGAAACAAATGACTACAACCCGCTCCTCTTGACAGGGTCGGTAGGCCGTACAATTCACGCCGACGACAGGGCGTCCACACCAGGCAGCACCTTGCCCTCCAGGAGCTCCAGACTGGCACCGCCGCCCGTGCTCACGTGCGAGACCTTGTCCTCCGTGTTGAACTTGACGCAGCACGTGGCCGTGTCGCCGCCGCCAATGATCGTAGTGGCGCCCGACTCGGTGGCCTTGACCACAGCGTCCATGACAGCCTTCGTGCCGTCAGCAAACGCGTCGAACTCGAACACGCCCATGGGGCCGTTCCAGACGACGGTCTTGGCCTTCGTCACAGCGGCGCTGAACGCCTCCTGCGACTTGGGACCCACGTCCAGACCCATCCAGCCAGCAGGGATGCCCTCCTCCTCAGTCGAGATCTTCTTGGCGGCATCCGCAGCGAACTTGTCGGCAATAACGAAGTCCACAGGCAGGTGCAGCGTCACGCCCTTGGCCTTGGCCTTCTCCACGATCTGCGGCACGATCTTGGCGCCTTCCTCGTCGTACAGCGAGCCACCGATCTCCATGTTGTTGATCACCTTCTTGAACGTGTAGGCCATGCCACCGCCAATGACCATCTCGTCCACCTTGTCGAGCATGTTCATAATGAGCTGGATCTTGTCAGCCACCTTGGCACCGCCCAGAATCGACACGAAAGGGCGCTGCGGAGCGTCCAGAGCCTTGGCAAAGTACACGAGCTCCTTGTCCAGCAGAAAACCCGCGGCCTTAACGGGAAGATCCACGCCCACCATGGAGCTGTGGGCGCGGTGAGCCGTGCCGAACGCATCGTTGACGTACACGTCACCGAGCTTGCTGAGCGAGGCGCGGAAGGCGGCCACAGCCTCGGGCGACGCCTTGGTCTTGTTGCCCTCGGCGTCCTTGCCCTTGCCCTCCTCCTCGACGTGGAAGCGCAGGTTCTCGAGCAGGATGACGCTGCCTTCGGCAGGATTGGCGCAGGCAGCCTCGACCTCGGGGCCAACGCAGTCCTTTAGGAACGTCACCTTGCGGCCGAGTTTCTGCTCCACAGCCACGGCCACAGGGGCCAGCGAGTCCTTGGCCTTGGGCTGGCCCTCAGGGCGACCCAAGTGGGACATGAGCACCACAGCCTTGGCGCCCTGGTCCAACACGTACTGCACGGTGGGCAGCGCTGCGTCGATGCGCTGCGTGTTGGAGATGGAGCCGTCCTGAGCAAAGGGGACGTTGAAGTCCACGCGGATGAGCACGCGCTTGCCCTTAACGTCCACGTTCTTGATGCTGAGCTTGGCCATGGTGGTTGGTACTTATCGACTTGGAGGCGAAATTGAGAATGGAGATCTTAGCAGATCGTTTTTTTTTTGGTTTTCAAGTGAGGAATCTTGTCAAAAGGGCGATTGCTTTTTGGGACCCGCGACATCAGCGCGTGGCAAAACGCACTAGAATTCATACTTTAATCAAATGAACCAGTAGCTAAACTATTTAAGTAGATTAGAATGGATTGACGAAAATGGCTTAACCAAGTGCTCACAATCTACTTATATATTGGAGTTATAAAACTAACGTACTTGAATTGTTTAATTTTCTTGTTCGCGATCTGCATAAAAAAGCAGCGTGCATGTCACATATGGATCTAAAACGGGTACAAGTACGTGGCCAATTTGGCTTCATGCTCGACAACTGCGCTGCTCCGGCAGTTGGCATTCGCGCCTTCGACCGGGAGTGCGCTTAAGTGGCTTCTCCAAGGAATGCAAGCTAGGATGCAAGCAGATACGTGGTCGTGATCACCGCAAGAATCGAGTCATACCTGTGTTTTGCGCTCTTATTTGTGATTGGCAGAAGTGTGGCTCACTGTGTCAGGCTGGGCGTGTGTGTGTGTGTGTGTGTGTGTGTGTGTGTGTGTGTGTGTGTGTGCCAAATTACTCGTGAAGACTGCGGACAATGCGCTGTCTTCATCTAACCTACCACATGTACATAGTGGCATACGATTGACTGATCCTGTTGTGGACGTAACAGACTCAGTCAAGCTGATTGCCACTGCAGTGTCCTACTACTACATCTAAAACTTGGTCGACCAAGCTTTATTGTCACGCTAATGTTTAGTCTACGCGTGCCGTGTTGGCAATGCTGTACTGGCATGCCTGGTTTAAACATCGCTCATCGGTAGCTCATAGTTCCAATCAGTACTTCTCTCTAAATCATTTTGTGTGGTAACGAAGAAAATGAGACCACTTGACGTCGCAATGAAAATATGGTGCGTTACTCAGTGATAAATACTACACAATGTCGCTCATTTCCCTTGGCCCAGGTACAACCCTTATTACACGCTGGTTTAAAGTTGCTTGGTAGCTTTTTGTCTGGTTGGAAGGACCTCCTAGTCTCCTCACTAGAAAATTTACACTTCCCGTGCAAGGCCGTTCGTTGCAAGGTTCCACCCGCGATGCCGTGATAGTACCGATCCCGACCAAAGTGTCTTTCGGGACAGTAAACCAATGCAGCTTGTGCATAACCAAATAAGTTCTGCTTCCTTCTTTCATTTTCAATAGCCCGAATGCTTTCAATGCTGTGGGCATGTAGTATAGTTTGCCGCTTTCCAAACAGTAGCCGCCAAGTAGCATGATCCTACTTCGAACTCCCAGGGCCGTGTCAACACAACAAGGTTCGGACAGGATGGCAAAGGAGCGGTGTTTAAGCCACACGTACCCAACCACACACAATACACGCGTAGACGAGATAATTCCAACAATAATCAGCACTACCATTCCGTGACAAATCAAACTCCACAAGTAATAGGACACCGCGAGAGCTGTTGGTTTGGACCGCTTCAAGTCCGACTTATTTAATCCAGACAGAAAAGCTTGAAGTACCAGAGCAGTAACAAACTCACCAACCAGAGCGACCTCGTAACTGAAAAACACTCGCTTGATTCGCATCCTCCACTTCTCACTGAGCCAATTCATGCTCTCCACCATCTCAAATAACAACAGCATTAACCCGGACAAATTGTAGCCCAACGATGCGTACTGGAGTCGGGCTGCCCAGCCATCGTTTGCGATGATAAGAAATAAATCCGTCATGATTCCTTCCACGATCAAGTAGAGCAAAGCTGTTCGTTGATAATTCGACGCCCCATGTGCAGACAAGCGCAGACTCTCCTGGACAAACACCACGGCCTGCTCGTGAGAAAGCGTTTCACCTAAATCGTCACATCTTCGACCGTAGCGTGAGCACAACACACAGCTTCTACGGACCATTAACACTCGATATCCGAGCCATAAAGCACCGACAATGCTGTACCAGTACGATACCCTGGACTTCGTACTACCCGTGTCCTTCGCTAAGAACGACCCGTTAATATCGTACGAGCCAAGAACATCCACTTGGATATATGACGTTCTGTCCTTAGTACAATACGTGCCGGTCTCTCCTTCGTAGAGCGAGTAGAAACCGATACTGGCATGATAGAAGTATACTTCGAATGGAAAACTGTCGTTCTCACAACTGGATGGTGCAGTGCGATATGGAACCACTTTTGAGCCCCCGATGAAGTAATTCCCGTGCGAGTTGTACTGCGGCACAACGGCGTGGCAAATAGTGCCATTTTCAGTGAGATAGTAATACGTTGGCTCGAAATTCCACCAGACTCCAGCCAGCACAAGAGCTTCCACAGGGCAAACCTCCGTCAGATTCGCGGTCTCCTTTTGCTGATTTTGAGGTACGACGAGAATCTCGGACATTTTGGCAGGCCTGACGAATTGTGTGTAGCTCCGTAGTTGCAGGGCCAGAGGTGCCACGCCCATGGTTAACCACACTAGCAACAGCATTGCGTGTGCATTCAACCATCCGGTGCCTCTAGTTGCAGACACCTGGAAACTCTCCTGTACATTTCCATTCGTTGGGGTCGACATCGATGGCAGCGATGAAGGAATCAGAGTGTGCTTGATTTGTCAGGTAATGCCAGCCCAAAATTGGCTGATGAAACGTATACAGGCGTTCTTTTGGCTGGAGTCCCACATAAAATTTTGTCGGTATCTTAAATTATTTTTCCCGAGCAACACTTTTCATACGAAGAAAACTAGCCACATTGAAACGCCATTAACGATGTACATGTACTTCTCCTGCCACGAACACAGATTCAAGCTTTTTTTTTAGCTATTCCAGAAGCAACCAAGTCAGCAGAACCGCCTCCTATTCCAACAAAACTATATCGTCTTCGACTTAGCTGGGAATACAAATTCTCTTTACGCAACGAAAGATACTAGAATTAGATATCAGAGATCCAGTCATGTGCGTAGTTGAATATACTTAGAACAACATAAGTAATATCTGTTAGCAGAACCCTTATTCTGCAGGCTCCACCAAGATACTAGTTGGACCAATGGACAACATGTTCTGGTAGTATGGGATACGAACTATATATATAAAAAAAGAGAAAACAGCTCCAATTAGCCACACTACTTCAAGACCGACACTCCAACATTTTTTGACATGCAACACAAGTCCCAATTTTCATTGGACCCCGGTGGTAATAGAACGAATCAGATTGCAGGAAGCATTAAAAGCCCAACATAATATTTCGTAGCAGAAGACTTAATTCCGAAAACGCGAAGGCCGTGGATTGTGGAATCCTCATTCGCTACGATGTTCGTAGTACGAGCTTATTGGCTGGATTCCCAGCCACCAAACTTAAATAATAAAACCACGAACTTGTAAATTCTCGACTCAGTAGTCCGTTATAAACCATTTTTGGCCTTTGACTAATCAATCTCTTCCAGCGATGTCATCACGAAGGAGTGGAAATATACAGGAGATCTACCAGATATCAGCAACTACAGACGCCCGGTGGTTGACTGCGCAGCGAATACTGCTAGTAGCTTGGTTAATCATGGGTGTCATACCTCTCACGCTGCAAATTCGGAGCTACACACAGTTCGTCCGACCAACCAAGATGTCCGAAATCCTCGCCGTACCTCAAGATCAGCAAAAAGAAACCTCAAATATAACGAAAGTTTGCCCTGTGGAAGCGTTTGTGCTGGCTGGAGTCTGGTGGAACTTTGAACCAACACACTACTATCTCACTGACAATGGCACCATTTGCCACGCTGTTGTACCACAATACAACACACACGGAAATTACTTCATCGGGAGCTCTAAAGTTGCTCCACATCATACTTCTCCATCCAGTTGTGAGAACGACAGCTTTCCATTCGACGTGTACTTTTACCACGCCAGCATCGGATTTTACTCGTTCTACGAAGGAGAGACGGGCACATATTGTGCCAACGACAAATTATCGTACATTCAAGTGGATGTTCTTGGCTCGTACGATATTAACGGTTCGTTCTTAGCGGAAGATACGGGTAGTACGAAGTCCAGGGTATCGTACTGGTATGGCATCGTCGGTGCGATCTGGCTGGTTTATCGTGCTTTAATGATCCGTAGAAGCTACGTCATGAGCACTCGCTACGGTCGAAGATGTGACGAATTAGGAGAAACAATCAGTCAGGAGCAAGCCGTGGTGTTTGTCCAGGAGAGTCTGCGTTTATCTGCTCATGGGGCTTCAAACTATCAGCGTGCAGTGTTGCTCTATTTGATCGTGGAAGGAATCATGACGGATTTATTTCTTATCATCGCGAATGATGGCTGGGCCACTCGAGTGCAATATGCATCGTTGGGTTATAATTTATCCGGGTTAATGCTGCTGCTGTTTGAGATGGTGGAGAGCATGAATTGGCTCAGTGAGAAGTGGAGGATGCGAATCAAGCGAGTGTTTTTCAGTTACGAAGTCGCTCTGGTCGGTGAACTTGTCACTGCCCTGGGACTTCAAGCCTTTCTCACTGGATTAAATAAGTCAGACTTGAAGCGCTCCAAACCAACAGCTCTCGCGGTGTCCTATTACTTGTGGAGTTTGATTTGTCACGGAATGGTAGTAATGGTTGTCATTGGAATTATCTCGTCTGTACGTGTGTTGTGGGCATTAGTGTATGCGTGGCTTAAACATCGCTCCTTTGCCATCCTGTCTGACCCATGCTGTGTTGACACGGCTCTGGGAGTTAGGAGCAGGATCATGCTGCTCAGTGGCTATTCTTTGGAAGGTGGTGTACTGTACTACAGACCATCAGCATTGAAAGCGTTCGGGATGCTGAAAATGGAGGAAGAAGGCTCTGAGTATTTGATTATGCACAAATTGCACTGGTTCACCGTCCCGAGAGACAACTTGATCGGAATTGGAGTTATCACGGGTGCACGAGTGGAACCTTGCAACGAACGGCCTTGTACTGGTATTGTTAGTTTTCTTGATAGGAGACTAGGAGGTCCTTCCAACCAGACAAAAAACTACCAAGCTACGGTAAACCAGCGTACGATAAAAGTTCTGGCTGCGTCAAACGAAATGAATGACATTCCGTAGTACTTCAGTTGACGTATTTTCTACTTGTACTTCGTGACAAGCGTTTTCAATGATCTCAAAGTACCTAAAACTTGGCTTTGAGAAAAATAATGGGTGATCGGAAACTCTATTCGAAACTGTGTTTGATGGGATAGGAATGCTGCCCTGCTGAGCAACCTACAGTTAGTACTACGTACCGGTAATCTATTAACCCGTGATAACGCGCGAAACAGGAAAACTCTAATGACCGAGTTTATTCCGCGCAATATTTCTTTCTCGAGTCGAGACTGAAAAAGCCAAAGTACCACTGTAACACGAAACAGGTTGTTGTCTTGTCGCTTTTAATTTCGCTGGATACACAATTAAAATAAATCGAGGTTGTTTTATATATCGATGTTATAAAAGGGCCATACCGATATAATTAGGGTGGTTACATGTATTGTAGAACCGGCTGCTTTACCTATATCATATCAATATCGATTCTTTTGTACATCAATTTAGAAACTCGAAATATTCTATTTTGGTCATCACAATCAGAATAACTTCTGGATATTCCGATTTTTACCCGGCCTATTTATAGCAGCAGCAATAATTAGCAACCTTTTGGGGAGAATGCCCACTTTGCAAACGGCATTCATCCAGACACAGCATACTAGCACCCGATGCCGACCCCAGTTCGTCTACAGGTCAAGATTGGAGAAGTTACCAAGAGAAGCAGGACAGACGTTCCCGTGAGGGGACCTCGATCCTCGTTTGATAGCGAAAAAGATAACTATGAAGTTTTTTGTAGCAGAATTGAAGATAATGTTGTCGAAAGCTTGCGCAGCTACCGTAAAAGACTATTAGACCAGACAAAAGCATCTACATCAAGCCAAGCCAGACTGCTCGGCAGCGAGTTTGGTAGCACTGCCAGCAGACAACTTTGCCCCTCTTATACATCAGCTTATACCAATTATCATAAGAGAACGGAGGATTCAGGTCCTTTCGAGATAGAAGTATTCGTGTTAGTAGCGAAGAAAGAGCGGCGATACCTGGAACAAGACGTGCTACGGCAACCAGGGTCCAAGAAGCGGCATCTACTATCGACAGCTATTTGGAGCAGCGACCAGAGCTCCAAGTAGGTGAAATTGCGGGGACACATTGGTCGATCTCACATGCCCGTCAGCTTGAAAGAACCGTCATTGCTGTCCCTGACTCAGCAATATTCTCTCAGGCCCAGCACCTTGACTCAATGCTGGCCGATGAGAAGGGCGATGTAATGGGTCACCATTTACATAAGTAGGTAGATTGATATACAAAAGTAGGTACAAAGCACGCGAGTAGCGCGTGCTGTATTGTAGCTCTCTGATTGGTTGAAAGGTCAGATATTCAGCCAATCAGGAGCCGACTTGCATTTGAGTGGTTCTCAAGGGGCCAGGGGTTCCGCCCTGGACCAAATTTAAATCTGAGTTTATTTTACCGGAAATTGAATCTTGTCGTATTAAGTACGAGCTTCCTCATCGCTACGTGTAAGTTAGTAACGGTAAATACCTGGCCCGTTACAGGCGAGGAGAAACCATTTATGGCACCACGAAAGAACAAATTAACGGATCTCGTGAGAAACCACTAAAATTCAGCATACCAGAGTTCCGCCGCGTTATGGGAACAAACTGCTGGAAAGTGGGGTCATTGCGTCGTTTGTTCCTCCGCCTGAGCCAGAAAAAACAAGGATATCGAGGACGTCGACCACATGAGTGATTAGCGCATGAAGAACCTTGTTTTAGGCTAAAACAACGCATTAAATCTGGTTTATGCTCGCTTCGCTCTACAAAACTGCTCCACCCGCCCACCCCACCCTCCTCCCTTCCACCTTCCCGCGGTACTACGCTGTCGTGAAGACAGCAACGTTGACGTCTCGTAAGGCATATCCACAGTGGTGGAACATATTCAAGCAATGTTGTAATGGGCTCGCTGTGTGCCCACTACTTCTGCTTACACGTTAGCGCACGTGTATGAGGAAGCAAAGTTTGCTTATCTTAGATTAACTATACTTACGTCTCGTAAGTATAGATTTACTTAAATAGAGGTCTTTAGCAAAACCGAAAAATTGATCATTACGGTTTGGCCACATGGTCCATCCCTCGACTCACATAAAGTTTCGATCGGTAACTTTGAGCTCAACCGGAAATAGCAGCAGCTTTTTGCGGTACGATATGTAATTTTTACGGTCTCTATGCCGCTGCTAAATCGTCTCCTACCAACACATAAAGTTTAGCATCTTCCTAGACTCCAGGTTCGACTTTGTTTTGCACACAACTCTCATCCCAATGGATCAAGCGTGCTTTCTCGACAGCCAGGTATCATGGTATAGCCGTTCTCTCAGTCGAGGTGTGCGTCGGCATTACAAGTCCCCGTACTTGCTTCAGCGCTGGCAACTAGCGAAAGAAGAGGAGCAGTACTTTGAAGAAGCCGTTTTGTTCGCTGCGCTGGCGAGTGCGCCACCTCCCTGTCCCCGTATTCGGACGCGTTTCAACTTCAATGCTCTTCCCGATGCGGTATGCAAATCTCGTTTTCGTTTTGATAAGTCGGAAATGTGACTACTGGTAAAACTCTTGAAGATTCCAGATAATATTGTCACGAGAGAGCGCACTAAAGCTACTGGTTTGGAGGCTTTATGTGTGTTGTTATACAAACTGGCTGTTCCAGTGCGGTGGGAAGACACTGAAATTTTTTTCGCCGCTCTAGTAGTGGGCTGTCGAACATTTTCATGCATCTACTCGACTTATTAGATGATACGTTCTCCAGTCTTATACTATTCAACCGTAACATTGCTGCGGCTCGACTCAAGGAATACTCTCATGCTGTATTTGATGCAGGAAGTCCCTACACAAACGTTTGGTGCTTTGTGGATGGTACTGTCCGAGGTGTGTGTCGACCTGTACCACGACGTGTACATCACAAGAAAAGAAAGCTTCTCGGTCAGCAGTCGATCTACAACGGGCATAAGAGAAAGCATGCCTTAAAGTTTCAGACTCTGGTAACCCCGGACGGCTTGATATCGCATCTATTTGGTCCGTATGCCGGGAGAAACCACGACATTAAAATGTATCGTGAGTCAAAGATAGCAGGTACGATTCGTTTGGACTCTCGGTTCCGCGGTTTTCGAGTGTTTGGGGACTGTGCATACGGCAACGACGACGTCATTGTGAGTCCTTTCGAAGGCGCTATTGGAAACCTAACTGCTGAGCAAACACACATTAACGCATGTATGAGCCGGATCCGAATCTCCGTGGAGTGGTCGTATGCTCAAATAGTGAGCTACTGGAAGGCATTAGATGTTAAGCCAAATCTACGTATCGGAACGCAGCCCGTAGGAAAAATGTATCGCGTTGGAGTACTGATGACCAACTGCATTACATGCATTCGTGGGGGAAACACAGCTAGCGACTACTTCAATTGTCCACCGCCTGACATCAGTGAGTATCTTGAGTCTTAGATCACAAATGTAGTTTTTTATTTAGAGTGTACGTAGTGTTAAAAAGTAGCAATAGATCTTGTGCGAAACGAACGTCTACTAATCTTTGTTGACCAACGCTGCACTGAAAATTTTTGCACACTCGAGGATCACGTTTCGGTTGTTTGCCTGAACTTCCATGTCAAACTGAAGCTTAGCTTGGGCCTGCTCCCTCTCAAACGCAAGGCGATCATCAAATTGCTTCTGCTTCTGTTCCAGTTCTCGCACTTTCATATCCATTTGCTCCTTGTATCGCTTTTCCTGGCGCTTCACCTCGGCCAAAAATGCATTCGTCCTTTTTGAAGCTCTCGATCCACGCGATGTTGAGCTATCTGTTGCAGACACGCAGCTTCCTTCGTCGCTCACGTCACTATCGGACAACTCGGCTTCACGATCGGCGCGTCGGCGGTTGCTCTCGGCCACAATGTCTTTAGCGCATTGTGCTAGATCGGCCTCTTTCTTTTTCTTAGAAAGTTTTTTTTTGTTATCTTCTCGTTTTGGTGAAGCTGCTCAAGCTCGATGTAATCCCGAACAAGTCCGTCGACGTCAGAATAGTGGCT